CGGTCCAAGTTGCCGATGGTCTTGCCGTTCATCTCCTCCTGCGCCTTGGCCGCATCAGAGGTCTTGGAGAACTTGACGTAGGCGATTCCCTTGTTCTCCTGGGTGTGCTTGTCCTTTACCACCCAAATGTCCTCGATATCGCCGTAAGGCGAAAATGCCTCGCGGAAGTCCTCCTCCGAGTGGGCCTTGTTGCAAATGATGAACAGCCGCGACATCGGCGGATCGTCGTCGTTGGAAAACTCCTCGCGGCCGCCACGTCCTCCACCGCTACGAGATTGGGATCTGAAATCCGACATGGTTCTGTTCTACTTTCTGCTTGGATAACTTTTCAACTTTTCAATTCACTTCACTTTTTCCTCTGTGCCACTTGATAGTATACACAAAATCTAGTGATGGACGCTACTCGATAATTGTGTGATCGCATAACCATCGATAAATTCTACTCAGCAGCTCTGAGAAATATACTTTTTATACCAATTAATTATTCAAAATATACCAAACATATTACGAGTGGGCAAACAAATTTATAACTCCCTCTTTCGAGCGTACTAATGCCTAATCTAAAAGACAAATTATACGTAGGATTCACGACTTTCAGAACGTCGGTCAAATGCTCGTTGTCTCTGGTCTTTTTATTGGCCGCCTTCTTGCGCTTGGGAACGGGCTTCTTGAGGCCAACTGAATGGAAATAAAATATATTTAATTGTTACTTACGGTTTTTGAATTATTATTATAAACTCACCGAAAAGTTAGCGATCGTATCGTTGTAGAATAAAATCTTTTTGTCAATGGGTCTAATGATGAAAAGTATTTCGGCAGCTCTGTTTTTCAGGACCCTTAAAAGTAAAATGCCACCCAGGCCATTTAAATCGTTTTGTTTCAACAATCCTTGATTTTGTAGACTGGCTTGAAACTTTACTTAATGCCGCATGGACACCTTCGGATTGTTGAATAAAATATAACTAACATACTAAACGGATTGGCCAATGTCCAGTTGGTTGGTTTCGTCAATGGTCAGTGGATGTCCATCGCTGTCCTCGTGGAGTGTGCATATGAATTTCACTATCTTGACCAGCACTTTAAAGCGATACTGGGAACTGCCATATTTGGTCTTGTACCCGGGAATGGGTTAAGAGAAGTCCACATGGCTTAGGCCCCATCCCGAGCCAGGATATGCTCTTGAGGAACTCACGTTGAGGCATCCAGCTTAAGAGCCGTCGGAGGACTCATTTTACGCTGGGAATCATCGCCGGGTGGCGGTGGAGCTGGTCCATCGGGCTTGGACTTCTTTTCGATGCTATTTTGAATGGGTATTACACACGACAATTTTTTTGGGTTCCCAAATATAATTGAAACACACAACACGCATTACGTTTTCCATAAAGTACGATTTATTTATTGGGCTTCTACAGTAAAATATGAGTTAAATCTAATATATGAAAAGAAATGTATTTTGCGCACGGCTAAATCGTGAGTTTACGAGACAGAGTCAATACTCTTGAGAAATTTATTATGTTTGTTTATGTTATACAGTTTTTTTCTGTATTACGGGTAGATTTAAAAGTCCCCCAAGCGGTATGTTTAACATACTCGTATGATATAACAAGCATTGCGGTTTCGTTAGATCCGTTTAAAGGTCGAAAGAGTCATTCTACGAGTGCTCTGTACGAGAGCCCCTTGAGTTAGTCAATGGTAGTCAATTGGTATGGTGAATTCGTTGACTGTTTGTTCTCCGTTCGCCGTTTCCGTTTCCGGTCTGCTTTCTTTAGTCTTCGTTGTTCTTGTGGCATTCCGTTAAGAGTGTTGCTGTGGTGGCTGTTGTTGTTGTTCTTGTTGTTTGGTCATTAGTCGATTGGTTGTAAGTTAAGTTGGTGGTGGTCAGTTCAACTGTTTTTTATCGGACTGTATTCTCAAGTTAGTTACGTACTCGTACATTGCGTTCTCTGTAAGTTCTTGATTGTCAGTAAGTCTGTGGAGATAAAAAGATAAAAATGGTTTGGCTTATTATGATCCCGCTCAGTGGCGGCATAGATATCGTCATTGGCCAACCAGTGCACGGGGTAAGTACCATACTATTCGCTTGGTCGAACAGAAGTGTTTATACACAAGCGTTAAGCGAATGCGTAAGTTAAATCGTTAAGAGGTTTCGGTTTGTAATTTCCACAACTACTTACCTCGGACCACGGCACACACTCATTCCAAATATGGCTACATATAGTACGGGATTTATGATTTCTCATCTATCTACTTACACTCAGTTACGCCTTAGACGTTTGCGCCCACCGTCATCGCCGTCGGATCCATTGCGCTCCTCAGCCTCCATGACCTGAAATAGGATTGAAAGTGATATAATTACTCAATTTAAGCTCAAATAAAATGTCATTACTGAAAGATGCAACTTTTCCATATTTAAAGACTCCGAAAAGTTATAAATAAATTTGGTTTGGTGGATTTCAAGTAAAAAGCGAGTTCAAAGTTCATACCTTAATTTTAGTGCCGCATATTTCGGCGCCGTTTAAAGTGTCAATTGCCAACTGGGCACTCTCAGTCTCCGCAAACTTGACGTAGCCGCAGTTCTTGTTCGGCAGTAGATAGACGTCGATCAGTCCCGACCAGCAGGAGAATATGTTTTTCAAGATCGAAAGCGGTAAATTCTGAATTGTAAAAGACAACGTTCATAACTAATGTCGATTGGACACAGTACAGTGGTACCTACCGCAGAGAGCACAATGAACAGACGCTGGGCCACCTGGGCGTCGGGCGAGGCCAGTGGCTGAGTTGGGGGCAAGGGCACATTGCAGATGGCCTCCTTTTTGGTGCGCTCTATAATGAAAAACCACAAGATTATAGAAACTAGATAGAGCAACGTTTAGCATGCATTTCAGGCCCAGCAAATTTAAGATAGTAAACCAATTAAAAGTGCTTAATAAGTGCCTAAAGGTAATGGCGCGGCCTAAGACCCTTATAAGATTTAACTCGCGTACTGTCTATAAAGGATGTGTCGATTCGAGCCGAGCTCATTCCATTAACTTTGACAATGATGCGTTCACCAGCGGGATATTCCAGGCCATGAAGTTTATCCCTACAGAAAAGAGATATTACCGTGGGTTTCAAAATGTCTATAGAGCTAGATTTACTTGGCATAAATAGCAGCTTCTGGGTTGTTGTACACTACTAAGACTTCATTGGTCCGCGGTCCACCTGTGAAGGGTAGTGCAAGTAGTTTTAAATGCTTGCATAGCCCAAATTAGAGGGACAACTTACTTTCGCGCATAATTTGGCAGTGATCTAGACCGGGAATGATATCGAAGAGTCGCCAAAGCTGATCCTGGTTGACGCAGTCGCTGACGATTACCTCAAGGCAAGAGGGCTGGGCTACTGGGACATTCTGCATGCGTAGAAAGGCCGACATGTCGTTGTTCTGCGACAAATTCCAGTCATTGTTGTAGCTGCCGTTGTTGCCGCCATCCCTGCTATTTCCTCCGTTATTGAAGGCATTATCCTCAGAGGGACGACCGTTCTGGTCCCTCTGTGAGCGAGTAGAACCCTTCGGTTCGGCAAACACCGCCTTGTACTTGGCCGAGCAGTTCTCAAAGGCCACAGCTGCATCGTAGAACCTGTCAATTAAGATATAGTTTAGTCAGGCATGAAGACTTAGTAACGCTGCATTTGCCACGCACTTGTTGAAGCGGACGTAGCCGAAACCCTTGGGACTGCCACTATTCTTCTCCTTGACAATTGTGACGTGTTCCACCTCGCCCCATTGGGAGAACTCTTCGCGGATGTCCTCCTCGGTGGCCGTTTTGGGGATCACTATGAACAGTCTTACATACTTTTCCTGCTCGTTTTCGGACTTATTCGAGCCCTGATTGCGGCTGAAAAGTTGGAGGCAAGCATTAGGCCCTGCTTGCGGGTATAACAAATATCTAATCTTACTTGGCTGCCACGAGGACTTTCAGGGTGCGGTCCAAGTTGCCGATGGTCTTGCCGTTCATCTCCTCCTGCGCCTTGGCCGCATCAGAGGTCTTGGAGAACTTGACGTAGGCGATTCCCTTGTTCTCCTGGGTGTGCTTGTCCTTTACCACCCAAATGTCCTCGATATCGCCGTAAGGCGAAAATGCCTCGCGGAAGTCCTCCTCCGAGTGGGCCTTGTTGCAAATGATGAACAGCCGCGACATCGGCGGATCGTCGTCGTTGGAAAACTCCTCGCGGCCGCCACGTCCTCCACCGCTGCGAGATTGGGATCTGAAGTCCGACATGGTTCTGTTCAACTTTCTGCTTGGATAACTTTTCAACTTTTCAATTCACTTCACTTTTTCCTCTGTGCCACTTGATAGTATACACAAAATCTAGTGATGGACGCTACTCGATGAATGACCTACTACGATGACCTACTCAGTGATTCTACTCAGCAGCTCTGAGAAATATACTTTTTATACTATTTTATTTATTCAAAATATATAACATTTTTTTCAATCGGTCAAGTTGAAAAAATGTAAAATTTAATGTAATGTAAAAATGTAACGGCTTAAACGGTAGTACAAACTTTACTATTTTAAAACAAAATAATCAAATAAAAAAGAAAATTTTTTTAGTTCTTAAATAAAATTTGTAATATTAAAGATCCTATAACTATTTGCAAATGGTGTCAAGTAAACGACAGAAGGACATCGTGGGCTTTTGGTCCGTTTCATCAGCTGATCGCACCTTCGACAACATACTAATTATCTTAAGAAGGACTCTTCTGAGATTCTTACTGTTCCACCGGGAATAATAACCAAGTCGGTTTTTATAATTGCTTTGTAAATGGGGAGTTTAGCTAAACGGTCATTATATCTAGTATTTTATTATCCACCAAAGAGGACCAACCCGAGTTAGGTAATATTGACCAAATAGATAATGCCCTTTAATGACATCTGGCAAATGACTTTCTACCTGCAGACCTCCGAAAATCTACCTGATCCACAAATTTAATATAAAACCATCTGTTTACGCCCTCAACCCTTCAGTAACAATTGGCCACTCATCATGAAATTACTTGGAAAAACAATAATTTTCTTATCATTTTGGCAACTAACTCTTGCTAGCATGGCAGAATTGCGAAGAAAATCGCACACTGAAGAATTTGAGGGCATGTCGGCCTTGTTCAGAGCCATGTCTTCTTCGCCAAACGATGGATACACCTACAACTGGAGCGTGGTTTCGTTTTTAACCGATGGCCAACCAGATTCCGGACTAAACTGCACTGTTTTGTATCTGGATCAGTGCACATCCTGGAACAGATGTCGTCAGACCTGCCTGAAAACCGGAGCCACCAGCTATAGGTGGTTCCATGATGGCTGTTGCGAATGCGTGGGCGAGCACTGCATGAACTATGGCATCAACGAGAGCAGATGTCGACTATGTCCTGAACCGGGATTCGAGGATGAGGAGGATTGAAAGTTTGTTATACTAAAAGTGATCTAGCAAAAAACCTTTGCAACACATTCAACATCTACAAAACAATTGTAAAATAGAGATATATTATTATTTAATTTAAAATTAGTATCTTATATATAAATTAATAGAGGTATAATTAAATAAATATTTTGAATACGCTTTTATTCGTTTCTTTTCTACTGTTTATATATTTTGTCAGTCGTTAAGGGATGCAATTTATTAATTTGATTTGACAAGTGGCAACCAATTTGTATATTCTAATAAAAAAGTTTTTTAAAAATTGTTCGGTAAAAATAAAATAACGGAATTTTTTTTAATAATTCCAAGTATTGTAAAATGCCACAATTCAAAAATTCCCTGGTGCACGTGCTGCCAACGCCCTGGTTTTGAATTGCCATCCCTGGTTGTTGTCGTTCGAACTCCACGTTGTTTTGCATTTGCACTTATTTTAATTGTTTTTTATATTATTAAAACCAAGAAAAATGGGTCGCAAGTTCCAGAATAAGAAAAAGAAGGCGGCACCACAGCTGGAGATTGTGCCACTGGATGAAAACCCACCATTGCCGCCACAGCGATCCTCAGACGAAGTGGTGCCCAAAAAGGCATGTACTGCGACTCCTCAAAACCTACAGTTTATTAACTTAAAATCAAATTTGTAACTACAGGAAAAGTGGGTGAACAAGCAGCGCGTGCTGGTCTTTTCCGCCCGTGGTATCAGTCACCGCGACCGGCATCTAATGAAGGACATCAAGACCCTTATGCCACACCACCGCACCGAGTCCAAAATGGAGCGCTCCAAAACCTTATCGGTGGTCAACGAAATGTGCGAGATGAAGCACTGCAACAAGGCCCTGCTCTTCGAAGGTCGCCGCAAAAAGGATCTGTACATGTGGGTGTCCAATACCGCGGGCTCCACCGGGCCATCGGCCAAGTTCCTCATCGAGAACATCCACACAATGGCCGAACTGAAGATGACGGGCAATTGCTTGCGAGGATCGCGTCCACTGCTCTCCTTCGACTCCAAATTCGATGAGCTGCCGCACCTTAAGCTGCTCAAGGAGATGTTCGTGCAGACCTTTTCGGTGCCAAATCATCATCCCAAGAGCCAGCCCTTCGTGGACCATGTGTTCACCTTCACTTACCTGGACAACCGCATCTGGTTCAGGAATTTCCAGATTCTCTCAGAAGACGGTGGCCTGTCCGAGGTGGGACCGCGTTATGTGATGAATCCTGTGAAAATATTCGATGGATCCTTCACGGGCAAAACCATTTGGGAGAATCCCGACTACGTGAGTCCGGCTAAACAGCGACAGATGCTCAAGAAGGCTGCGAAGGACAAGTACGTGAACCGAGTGGAGCAGAAGGTCAAGCACGAGGCCACGCGGCCGGTCAGAGCCTACGATGGCGTTGATAATGACGAGCTCTTCGAGGACGATGATCCCGTAGAGACGGCCAAGATTCTGGCCGCGATAGCCAAGAAGAAGAAGGAGGAAGCTGCCAAGCAAACACCGAAAACGGCGCTGACCAAGAAGATCAAGGAAAAGCAATTGAAGGCCGTCAAAGAAGTAATCGAAAGGAAGAAAGCAAGAACTACTAAACGTGTGAAAAAGGTTTGAACACCAAATTTTACATTTAGATACAAAACGATTAAACTTTATAAATACGTTTACAAACTGTGCATCCTAAGTTTGAATATATCAATAGACAAGATTACCAGTAATTATTAGTCCCACTGTTCTACTTTGTACGTCGCGACGGAGTTATGGTATGTATATATATAAATATTAACATCCTAATGAGATGTGCGTTGAGTTTCGGGGGCTTTTCTGGGACTGGAATAAAGGATTAGCGAAAGCATCTGGCTGCCTCTTAGAGCTACTCGGGCGACATGGGAGCCACCTCGGGATCGGACGGGGGGAGTCGTGTAATACTGAATGGCTGCTTGTTGATGGGCATCATTTGGACCACCTCGATGGGCGGCTCCTCCCCAGGCTGTAGCGGTTCCTCGCCCACCAGCTTTGCCAAGTTGCTCTGCGCCCATCGACCAGACCGACCATTCAGGGTCTTATCCTCGCAGACGCACAGGAACAGGGTGTCCACAACCATCTGTCGGAGATTCATTAGTCAGACTATGTGATTTATATGCTAAGCAGGATTACTTACCTCAAATAGCGATAGAATGATGTGAGCAATGAAGAAGGAGAATATTATTATGATTATGACGGGGGCCATGTAAAAGTTTAGACCGGGCTTGTCCTTGAGCAAAACGATTCCGATAAGGCCGGAGAGAGCGGCCACCACAACCTTTCCCAGGAAGAGTATAAAGTCGCCCACGCTGTTGATGGTGGCCACTTGTAAAACATTCGTGGCCATGGCATTCCAGGCCTTAAAATGAAAATGTGATTAAAATCATAGGACAGTTAAGGATTTTTCAATGGTAAACTTACAATGCCAGCGGCGGGACAAAAGTTAATGGACTCAATGGCCACCACAGTGTAGGCATTGTGATTTAAGAAGCGAATGAACTTCTCCAGCAGCCAAAAGCCACAAATACAGCACTTCAAGCAACAGGCCGCACACTCCGATCCCTTGTCCTCGCCTTTTTTCAATCTTAAATATTATATTTTATTAGTTAAGAATGGGAAGAATATTTCAAGAGAATATAAACGACTTACTTGGCATACAAATATGTCAGTATCAAGCGGGGAATCTTGAAAATAGTGATGACAAAGGATCCCTTGGCCACCGTGCCCAAATGATACTTGACCAGTTTGCCAATGGCGTAAATCGTGGGTGTTGTCGTGGGCTTTTCAAAGTACCAGAAGGCCACAGCTGCGGCCAATGCAAACTGCTGGCAGGCGAAAATAAACTCAACCGTCCAAATTAGACCCACCACATAGATCCAGAACATACTGCGAAGGGCACCAGCATCGGCATACTCTACGCGCGAATTGGCTGTTTAAAGAAGACATTGGATTACTTTTCCGGAAGTGACTTTAAAATTTTCTGTAGAATGGTTTATATTTGTATATACAATTTGGATCCAAGAGTTGTGAGGAAAGAAACACAGAAATATGTACAGGAAGAGTAAAGTTCTGAGCCCTTATCAAATATCACTTACTTATTCACCAAATCACATTTTAAAATAACCACAAAAATGTAAAAATGTAGATTATTTTGAATTCAGCTGCTCAAAAAACCCTGCGGAAAACGGAAATACATCATAGAAATGTGCGACTACTTACTTCTCAAATCATTGGCATTGGTGTTATTAGAAACAAACAACGCATTGGCTGGCAGAGGCTGCATGTGAGCTTTCGAGTTGTCAAACGGAGCAATGGGACTCTGGCCAGGAGAGCTGGCGGTGGCCAGGCAGATGACCACCCCGACCCAGAAGCTCAAGAAGGCTATGAGCACAAGGAAGGCCAGCAGCGGGGCAATCAAAAGTCCTGGGAGATTCATCATGCACTGGCCAGCTTCCTCGAAAAGGGCAGACAAGCCAGATAGTTTGTTTTTCAAAAAGTATATAACCACTATGAGGATTATCTGCAATAAGATTCTATATAAGTAAATAATAATAAAATAGTTGATGAGTTAACTAACCATAGTTATGGTGGCCAGGACTGCCAAGGTTAGGACCGCCTGCTCATTGCGCACAAACTCCTGCAGCATGCTATATTGCGTGTTCACCCCAGTCTTGTAGCGGATGTTATAGTAGGCATACCAGAGGGCCACACTTAGTGCCACACTGGCCACTATAACCAGGACACAGATGATCCAGGAGACGATGCGGGAGAGCCAGTGCATCATGGTCACCAGAGCGATAGAAATGACTAGGAAAATGATATATTTAGATAACATTTTGAATGAAGAATATGGGTTCCCTTACGCAAGGCCAGTCCACAGACCAACGCAATGATGTGCCAGGTGGAGTAGATGTCACCAACGAACTGCTGGGCCACATCCCAGTTATTGAGCATTTCGTAATAGTTCTCAATATATTTCTTAACATTCTGACCCGTGCCCTTGGGCACACAGCGATGGAGGACAGGAGCACTGTGGAAAAATGATTAATGTGTGAATTAAATTAGCATTTGATTCAACTCACCTCTCGTAAACGGGTAAACTAGGACACGGACCCAGGAAATTGAAGGTCTTGGCATCATCTCCCACCGTACTCAACTGCTGCATATTGTAGTCGTATTTGCAGAGCTGGCTGCCCGATTGGCTGTAGTATTCCAGCAGCTCAGTGCCCTTGGTCAAGGTTTTGGCGGGACAAGACTTGACGCATATTTTCAAGGACTTTTTCAGCTCCTTGACGTCAAAGTAGAAGAGCTCTGGCTTGTCAAGGGTATTCATGCCGGACAAAGGGAATCCCTGGAACTTTTCATTGTGCTTGACGCCACAGGTGTTGCCAAAGGAATCGTAGCCATTGATGATGCGCAAGGGATTGCCGTAGACAAACGAAAAGATGGCTATCACGATCTGAAATGGAAAACGGAGGTGTGGGGGTGAATAAGCAGATAGATCATAGTTAAGTCCGTGCCAACGCCCACGACGAGCAGCGTGTCATGTCAAGGGGCATTATTAATATAATCGCTGGGGGGTGTGGGGGTGCCCCTGCGAATAGCTTGACATGGAAATGCTTTCGAGGAGTGGCGTGTCCTGCAGGACAGCAAAACAGCGCTTATTGATTCGCCACATGTGGGATTTGTATGTGGCTTTGGCTCAGGCTAACCCTGAATGTTAAATCATCGCTTTCATTAGCAGAATTAACAATTCCGCTCATGATACACAATGCGATGACGACACGAATGAGACATTTTCAAGTAACAAGTAGCCCGCTTTCCTCCCGCAAAAACCGCTCACACACACAGCGAAAAAGCGAGAGAAGCGTTGCGCAGATTGATCTCCTAACTTTCACTTTCCCGATAGACATTTCTATATAGGGAAATCTATGGGATTACTCACCAAAAACAGCCAGAATATAATGTAAATCGCCAGCCAGCAGGTGTCCGTGCAGGACCGGTATTTAGGCCTGTTGTCCTGAGCCTCCCCCTCGCCGTCCTTGCTCTCCGCACAGCCCATTTTGCACTCGGTTTACTCGGCAGGTAATTAGCGGAATTAGTTTGTCTTATCACTATGGTCTTATATCTAGATTCGAGTTTGTTGAGCCACTTGTTTGTTATATTTTGATTCACAACCGAGGAGACAACAACATATACAAGTTAAAAGTGCAGGTGTGACCAGAGGATGCGCGGATAGACAATCCGAAGAATATGCGGCCTAGCAGAAAATACTAGTATGCTGGATTATTAATAGCGCGTGATTTGAATCAACAAATTTTAATATCACTGTGTACGGCAGTACACGTAGTGTCGAAGCGCGCAAGAGAGCGTGCGAAGACAACTACTATATATAGCCGCAGAATTGAAAATCTGTCAATAAATAAACTATATTCAATTTATGTATTCGGCACTCTACAACAGAAAATTTACGTGCAGGTAATCAATTGTTGATATCAGAAATTTTTGTTAGAGGCGCGTTTGCCACTACTTTTTACCTCGTTAAGAGGTAATCGTTTGATATTATTTTAAGAGTAAGATGAGAGTTTGAATATAATAATATTTTTAAAGTCAAAGGTCCTTAAAAAAACCTTTCTAATGTTTTTAATTAAAAAATCTTTGGTTAGTATATTTGAATGCAGAAATAAATAAAATAGGGATTTTATGTAACTTTCCTTGTTAATTTTTAGTATCCCCAAATTTTTTCAAACATGTTTATTTAATATACAAGAAGAAGAGGAGTATTAAGCAAATAGTACAAACAATTTTTTTTTATCAAAAAATGAAGTTATAAAACTCTTGTAACTAACCCAACCTAACCTAACCTTGTAACTATAAAAAACCCCAGAAAACAAGACAATAAATAATAATAAATTATTCACATTTATTCAAAGATCAAGCTTAATCTTTAAGTTACATCCAAAGCTAACATTAACATAAGAATCGCAATGAACTGAAAAAAATAATATTCGAAAATTCTAGGATCGTATACAAACTAAAGATTCGATACTTAAGCAATGTGATGTGGTTTTTCTTAAATACTGAGGACTGGCAGTCGCAGATACCGCCAAGTATAACCGGAAGTGTCATTCCAAAATTGTTCCACTCCGAATGTGTAAACAATTTTCGAACAAGATTTCGTTATTTGCACGATCGACCTAATTAAAGATACATTCCCTACTTAAAGCTACATATAGATATAGTGGTCTAGGCTAAATCATTGGGTTCTAAAGAGTAGAACTCGTTTTTCTCCGCTAATCTCAAGGTGAAGCTATTTGGCCGACTCTGTAATCACTTCTTGACCGTCACCTGGATGCCGCCCTTGACCACCGCCTCTGCGGGTGGCTGGCCGAATCTTCGGCTCTGGTTGAGGTTGCTCTTGCGCCGTATGCTGATTCTTCCGGGTGCAGCAGAAGGAGCGGGAGCGGGAACTGGAGCAGGAACGGGCACTGGAGCACTCTCACCCCTCGGCGTCTCCTCATCCTCGGCTGGTGGTCTATAGGTTCGAATTCCGGAGTTGGATCTCACTGGAAGCAGTGTCACCAGCTTGTGGACACTGGGTTCCGTGCTGCTGGTAGCAAACTGCGAGATCTTGAGCATCTCCTCGTAGTTGAGTGGATCCACCACCTCCACTTCCGCCTCGCCAATCACGGGAATAGCTGCTCCCAGGACTTCAGAGGAGCCATCCTCTAGAAAACTGGACATGGGCTTAATGAAGGGCTCTCTCTCCACCGGTAAGATGGATTCCGGGACCACTAAAGGCACCTCTGTGGTGGTGGAGGTGGGCATGGGCCTCCTGGTATCCTCTTTGGGTGCATGCTTCAGTTTGTTTTGCGAAAAGGGCGGGAACTTGTTGGGAACACTGGGATTGATGCCCAACTTGGAGGCCAGTGTATCAAAGATCAGGGAGATGTCCTGAATGTTACTGGCATTGTTGATCCTCGTCTTGATGTCATTCAGGGTCAGATTCTCCGACTTGTCAATGTCCTCCGAGACCCAAGCCTGCAGGGTCTTATTAAACACCTTCCTCATATTCGAATTATGCCCAAATCCTTGGGCCGATGAACTGTTCACGAACTCCCACTTGGAGTGCGAGGGAAATAAGTTGGAGTCGTCCATCATTGTGGGTCGTTCACTGGTGGTCCGTATGCGATTTCTCTTGGTGGTTCTGGGCTCCTCCGTTGTGGTGGTGGTGGTGGTTGTTGTAGTTGGTGTGGTTGTTGTGGAATCCTCCTCTAAAGTTTCATTGGAGAGAATTGAAGAAGCGGTGTTCCTCTGCAGAATGATCTCCTTGAGGTTCATAAAGTTCGGCTTAGAGTGGCTCGCAATGGGGGTTTTTAGGGTCTCCAGGGTTTCCTCCTCCTCTGGCTCTATCCTGGATTCTATCTTATCTTCTGTTGGTTTCTTACTAGCGGTGGCGTTATCTTCCTTAGGCAGATTAAGTAGCTCCATGAAGAATTCTCCTATGGTATCGGCCAAAACAGAGTTATCCGTTGGTTTCATAGAGGGTAAAGATGGTGTTTTGGTTGGCTTGGGTGGGCTATTAACTGGGATCTTTGGGGGTGAGGTGGTGACCTCCACTTTCTCCTTTTTAGTGGTAGTCTCAAGCTGCTCATTCTTCTGATCTTTCTTCACCTGAACATCCTTCTTTTCCAGCAGAGTCTGATTTATTTCCTTGATTTGTTGTTCCAGAGGTTCCTTTTTCAATGGTTGCTCCTTCTTTTCCAGTTTTTCCTGTGGCTTCTTGGCAATGACTCCTCCACCCAAATGCTCGAATCTCTCATTGCTGGCATCCAGATTGAAGGGCAGTTTCTCCCCCGTTCCCATGGTAGCATCAATGGGTTTAAATGGAGGAATGATCACGTCATCGATGAGGGGCACGGGCAGAGGATGTGGTTCCACCAGGGCTCCTCCCAAGCGTTCTATATTCTCAGTGCCCGGCATAAAGATTGGGCTGCCAAAGTTGTGGTAGAAAAGCATTTCCTGATCCTGTGGCTGCTGGCCAAGATTGGGTTTTGGCTCCTGAACTCTTAATCCCGGATTGAGGAACCCCAGACTATAAGGATCAATGGTCACCGGAGCCACAGCTGCTGTCGGAGGAGTGGGATTGTCGGCAATGAAGGGCAGCTCAAACTCATCGATCCTCCTCTGTGGTATGTGGTTCACAGTGGGCGTAGTTCCTCCTGGCAGGGTTTTGGTGGGAAAAGCTGGAGGTGGACCGGGCAGAAGCTCTGGTACTTCTCGATGCATTGGTCTCCAAGGTTGGGTGTCCAAAATGGGGAAGGTGGTAAACAGATTCGCATCCAATTTGGGCAGAGATCCTCCTTGATTCGGAGTGGGTGTGCTTACAGGGGGATAGGTAAAGGTGGTGGTGGTTGTGGTGGTGGCTCTAGTGGTGCTAGGTGGTGGTGGAGGTTGGGTAGTTGTGGAAGTTGTTGTAGTAGTAGTTGCCTCCGTTGTTGTAGTAGTCGTTGTGGGCTTTGGAGTAGTCGTAGTAGTTGTTTTCCTCGTCGTAGAAGTGGTGGTTCTCTTTGTTGTAGTAGTTGTTGCCTTGGTGGTTGCCCTGGTGGTGCCACTTCCAGTGGGCACATGCTGGGGCAGTACCGTCGTCAGCTTCTCAATACCCGGCTTCTTGGGCTTCACCCTCAAGGAGAATGGGGTAACCGCAATGGCCTTGGGTGGCAGGGCACTACTGCTACTGGCCTGATAGGCGCGAGTGGGCGGGGTCTTCTTGCGGGCAATGTCCGCATCCGTCTTGGTGATCTCGAAGGAACCCTCGAAGGAGCCCTGAATGACCGGAGCATTTTCCACATCTATATCGGGCTCATCATCGGGGGAGTGACTGCGCAACAGGGGATTCTTCGGTTTGGGCGTGGTATTACCTCCAAGGGGTTTTGGATGAACTACAGCTGGCGCTGGTGTACTGCCCTTCTTCATGAGACGCTTTTCCAATTGGGTTTGACTAGTGGGCACCGTTTGCTATTAAAAAAGTCATAGTGTTATAAGGATTCTGACTTTGGAAAGTGTGTGTTATCTTACGGCTTCCTTTAATATAGCTGCAGATCGCACCACCTGCTCATCCATAATGCGCTTAATCTCCACCGATTCCGTGTCCAAACGCAAAGAGCGATATAGGGATTTGGTGGCAGCGGTTTCCAAGAACAGCGACTCCTTGATGTACTCTTCCACGCTCAAAATGTTTCTAATATTATAAAAAAGTCGTTAAGTTTTTATTATCCCTATAGCGACAAAGTTTACTCACTGTGGCAGTTTGCGAACATCTAGAAACACCCGGAATGAGACCTTTATCAGTGGACCCTCTCCGAAACCCCAGACATCTGTGCGCAGTGGTTGCAATCCATTGTCCATCATGGAACGCTCCACGAATCTTTTGTAGAAATCAATTTTCTGCTTGTAGGTTGTGGTATGGTTGTACTTTAGACCCGTGGAGAACAGATCCCCCTTGGCAATGCGGAAGGAACCCTCAAAGCCCATGACAGCTGAGAGAAAAAAAAATATTATTACTTAATCAAAACCCACATATCATCAATATACTTACGATCCTCCAGATTGGTCTTAATAGAGCTGAAGTAGAAGGCCAATCCTGCGATGGAGATGACGGCCAGCAGGACTATAAAAGCAGCCGTGGTCAGGATAATGCTGAAGGATCGATTCTTGGGGTATTGCGTATGCGTCTTGGCCGAAAAGGTGGATGGGGCAATGTTCCTCCCATCCCGCCAGATGCCCCACGTATTGTATCCATACTGACTATTCAAACTGTGCTCATTTGTGTACGAGGGCTGCTTGTTCATGTGATAGTAAGCCCCCAGCTGAGACCGCCGGCCAACTGTGTTCTGGTAGGTATAATCCGCTCCACTCTGCGAAAGAAGATGTCAGATGTTCTTAACTAGGTTTTCGAACTAAGCCATCCCAACCGATCACGATGGCCACTAATCCGATAATTAGCCGCCAGAAGTCGCACAACTTTCTCGACCCTTCGGCCACTTTCTATCGCGACTCCCAGTCCCTCGGTCTGCGGATCTACCAATCTAGATGACGGAAGTTGGCCTCTAACGGCTCCCCACTTTGGACTCAATTGACGCTATCGTCAAGAACCGCAAGTTGGTTAACTTCCCCCTAAACTTTCCCAGCCTTATGTCAGGCTATGAATCGCTATCGTCGGTTAGCACTTGTCATGATTTGTTAATGCATCTCATTAACAGCGCTGGGAAAACGCATTTAATTAGCCTGGGTCGGGATCTACAATCTACCAAGTCGTATGAAGTCATTGCACCTGGTCAGATTCTCAGAATCTTGCTAACTTCCGCAGGTTCCTAGCTGTACAGTTGCAATCAGCTGGTTAGCATTTATAATTATATCAAATATATATTATTAATCAAAATTATACTTCCTTATACAATAGCAGATCGGCTTAAAAGATTTACTTATCCATTAACAAGAACTTGCTTTTTCTTCGAGTGCTTTTATTACGAATGCCATAAACAAGTTTTTTGCTTAAGTCTTTTGATTTGGCATTGACATTGATATTGAAAAGTCTGACGTTTTTTTGTATGTCATTGATATAGGCTTATTCTGTTTATTGAAGATAATACTAAAATTCATAAAATCGTAGTTCATTAATTTTTTTTAACTTTATAAACAAGTAATTTGTTAAAGTCGTTCGATTTTGGAAATAAACAAAATTCAATTTATAGTTTGGAAATAACAGTTCTTTGTTTCCTACACATGTCAAAACCTAAACCTCATCTTTAATTACACAGAATCAGTGATTTATGTTCAGAACCCTATGGGTTACTATCTCGACCCCAGCTGTAAGTGCATTTGCTCGGGGAGATACACATGTAGATCCCCGAGGGGCCTATGAGAAAGTCAGATTGTTTCTTGATTACCATTTAACATTAGCTGCAGGGCATTTCCCTTAGTTCTTCTCTTTCTCCCGGGAAGCTCCCTCTTCCTAACCTTTCGTAAGTTTTACCCGGCCAAACCACTCAGTTGGCCAAATTGCCGTCTTCTCGGCTCTTTTCTTCTGCGTTCTCTTCAGCGGCTCTGCGTTGCCTCTTCTTTCTTCGCCGCCAGAGAAAGTCATTCACCTTTTAGAACGTTCTTCTGTCGTGTTTGGCTCGCTAGTTACTCGTACCTATGTATCGTTTTTTTTCAGACTCTCTAGTTTGTTGGTGAATGAGGAATGCAAACAGCTCGATTCCGAGCCTCTGGTCCCAAACAAACAGGCAAATGAATAAACATAAATATGCTTGCTGCGTAGATAAGGAAAGAAAACCAACCGAAGCGAGTTGATGTAACAATTCTATTGACAAAGAGATTTTGGGGGACGATAAATGGTCTCAATTCTATTCTTGAACCGACTCCAAAAAATGCTAATCATATAACTGTTATACCTTTTGTACCCGCAAGTGATAAACGATTGGGGATTACTCACCATTTGCCGACATGTCTGCGCCCTGTATATATCGCTCACGCCGGATAAACTCTGGAAGTATTTCTTTGTCCCATAGACGGTGTCCATTTTACCACCGTTACAACTCCGATCGCAGGTTCTGGAAAGAAGAAAAGATTTTCGGGTTAGCCATTGTTAGCGGTTTTCTTCACTTTCGTTCGGGACGGTCTTTGCTTTCTTTTGGGGACCACTGCGAGTGGGCCTGGGTGATCCGTGTGCTCGGGATCGGGATTGGGATGGGAAAAAGCCACTAATGGGCCAGCATGCCGAAGAACCGGCTAATCCTGTTTGCCAGCCGATTAGCCAAACGAAAATTCTCACTTTTCGCCAGGGAAAAGGGGAAAAGAACAGTGCACAATAGCTATGAGATATGCAAGACGTTAACCGGTTTGTTTTGCATTTTCCTCAAAAGTACCTAAAAGTATTCAAAGGAGTTTTTCTGCACTAGGAAAAATCATGGTAATCGCTTAGGAAAATTCCTAAAAATTACGAAGCAATAATATTCTGCGTTCTTTCTAGCTCTAACTATCGGTTTTGATTTATAGCCCGAAAATAAAACTATTTCTGGGAACAAAATCAAATGAAAACTGTATTTTCTTTTAACAAGTAGAGACATTTCTCATGCCTATAAAAATTCCAGGCATTTTCCACCTTCCCCATGAAAGAAGGTATCACATTTTCTTATTAAATTGAAAACCAAACTGGTCAAACTGAAGACCTCTCCACTGACCAGTCGTAAAAAGCGAAAGCTCTCCAGGGGCATAAACAAAAAATTTAATTAGAGAATTCCCCGACACTCCGATACGCTCAATGGCTGAGCCCTACAAATTTGGAATTTTCACTTCATGGGAAGCTTGGCTTTATGCTCCAGCGTAAAGAACCCACTCCGAATGGCTTAAGTACACAGCAGATGGGTCGGCGATGGAGGAGTGGGTTGGGTGGGGAAACCAGTTCTCCACATCCACATCCACATCCCCATCCAACTCCTCATCCAAGATGGAACCACGATGGGGCCGGGTTATGGCTTGTTCCGCCGTCATATACACATGTAAGATCTCGGTATTTATAAAGCCACAATGTATGGTTTAGTTGTACATGTGCAATCAAAATCAAAGTTCAGGCAACGCCAAGAAACGTGTGTAAAAATAGTCTTTTCGGTGCGGGGAGCCGCCAGCGATAGTTGGTTGCTCTTTGGATGGATGATCAAGAGGTTTGGGTCCGGGGCTCTGAGCTTTTCGAGCTGGCAAAAGTAAAAGTTCTGTTATTTTTAGGAATACCTTGATGATGGGCTCTATCTGGCGGAGAGAAACTAATTTTAAACTTTTAGTAATAATGCGGTCTGCAGAAGTCGCATTGTTGGGTCATCAGAAATCGAACACAGATTTAATGGGGGATTATGCAAAATGGCATATAGAGTGAATTAGAAAAGGTCTGGGAGAAGTCTTAAATATATTTTCGGGTTTTTAATAGTTAATATAAATTATAGCTCTACATTACTACTTAGCTTAGCAGCATTTAAAACTATACATTCATTACCCAAGTGAGTAATTGTCGAACACCCATAAATCTTTGTATCTGTTCCTTTCCTCCTAAGCCCCCATTAACTGTAAACGCAGGCCCGGAATCTCTGTCATCGCCGCCACTTCCCATTGAAATGGAACGGAAACCCATTTGCCTAATAAAAAGACCGCCAAAAACGCGCTAAAACTGGCTGAAAAAAAGAGGCAAATTGAAGAACCAGTGCAATTAGAGTTGAGGTATGTATATATGTTCGAATATACGTATATGGTTGGGCTCCAGGGGGAATTCAGGTACTCAGTTACCCTCCACCCAAAACAGTTAGAACGCTTGGGGAGCCATCGGCATCGTCATCGTCATCGCCATGGCCAAAGCCATAGCCACCAGCTTTTGACCTAGATGCGCATGCGCGGAGCCCGAGGAATGGATTCGAGGGGAAAAGAAGGTGGGGTAAAGCCCGGAGACGGCCAAAGCCAAAACTGGTAACTTGTGCTCGTCTCCCAATACGTACATACAATTGCAGTCAATACAATGGTTTTATTTGCCATCTTTTTTAAATATTTTAATATTTAATGTTTCAATAACAATTTTCATATTTAAACTAAACTTAAAGAGGTTTAATTCTTTTAATTGAATAATATAATTAACAGCTTCAGTAAAAAATATTTTATTTGTTTTTAAATCGTGTTAAGTACATAAGTTCAAAATAATATATAAAGATAATAAATAAAATATTGTTAAATTGGGTATTATCTAAAAATATATTCATCAAAACTTGTGTACGTTGATGTTGCGATCAACAGAGCATTCTAACGACCTATCGATATTGGCATTTTTGTTTGATTAGTTATTAGTTTAGGTATTATACTAAATACCATATTGGTAGGTTTATTTAATATTCAACATTCAATTCAATTCATTCAATATATTGCTTTGAAATTAAATCTTATAAATTTAGAAATCTCAAAAAAAAGTGTATATATATTTTTATAAATATTTTAAGAACCACTTTTTTGACCTCAGTTGTGCTTACCTTGTGGTGTTTTGGAGAAAGAAAGAATAAATTGACTTGCGTTTGAGTCGCGTGAAAAAAGTTAACGAAAAATACAGAAATAAAACAAAAATAATACCGGCACACACTCACTTGCAGAAAGTTTTTTCGATTTAGGCATTAAGTATTAAGACGTAGCCGGCCACGCATAAGTTGATTAAATTTCTCGCATTAGCCGATTTTCTCCGTCGGTGAAATTGCTGGACGAAAAAGCGTCAAAGAATGATTGATGAGAATTTGATCTGGAAATTCAGACAGTAGTCGGTCTATAGGTATACTATAAATATAGCTGCAGAAATGCCTAACGGAAGTCGGCCATTAACCCGCTGGCACGTATATATGCGACCGATATTTGGCCAAATGCGTTGGCACTTGCGACGCGATTTTCGGCCAGATTAAGATTCCCAGCCACTTTCAATCATAATGGCTCGCCGACAAAGTGTCGAAGAAAGTGAAATGTGACAGGTGTTTTTGGGGGGGGAGGCGGGGATTTTACAGGTGAGGCATCGATGTCAATGGATGCTTATCAGAAAACGACGGTGAAATGGAAAGTTCACATCGAAGGCACCGGAAACTAGAGGAGCTGCCCATTGAATCATCCGAACAATGCAGCATTTTTGATTATTTGACTTGGGAAAGTGATGGTAAAATAATATTTTTGTTGGTTTTTGCAGCTTCATTTTTGAGGTTTTGAAAACCGCTAGCCATATGTCGTAAGTGATGCCCAAATTTAGCCGGACAGTGTGCAAATTTATGCAATCTTCTTTCTTTGCTTCCTTTCCCAAAAGAAAGGCGACGAAGAGAGCAAATGGAAAATCAGATAACCAGTCTAATGTAAACAGAACGGACGGTACAGTAGTAATTCGTTATGACATTCGGTGAAAATATAAGCAAGATCTGGATATACTAGTTACAGCAGACATAAGATAATAAGAACATTGGGATAAAAATGTGCTCAACAAATTGCTCATGTATATATATCTTAAAATCTAAAAACAATGATATACATATATAATTTTTTAGATTAAATCTTTTAGGTTAAAGCATAATATCAATACTATATAAATTTTTGTATAACAAAAATACATCTCCAAAAATATAACATAAACCTAAATTGTGTCGAATAATTAAGTTTACAAGAGAAACTTTCGAACAAACCCTATGAAACCCATCTGATAAGAAAACTATACCTACAAAACCGCTCATTTTCACCCGATATCCACTGTCCCCCCGAAGCGGTGATGAATGAACAAAGTAACGTTGCCGCTAATTGTATAATAAATTAATTAAATTGTTTATGGCCATTAGAAAATGAATATGAATGCGTCGAGAGCAATCTGTGCAGCATTTGCAGTTTCGTAATCGCTCTAACGGCGCCAGCTAGCAAGGTTTTACTGGAGCGTAACCACTTTATAAAGACGGGGGAAGGAAAACACATATACTTCTTTGAGCACCCAGAACCACTTGGCATACAAAGTAAAGCTCTATGTCCCCCACCATTGCGGAACTAAAAGTGCATTTCATTTCTACGACAAACAGAGGGGAAAAGTTGACAGGAACGAGAAGAATAAAAATATATTATAACATGCGGAGAGTGGATAGTAAACAGTGTTGGGAATAGTCATTAAAAGCATTCACCGTTACACCTTAACCAACGACCAAACTAATTAAAAGCAAACAAATCCGTCAAGTTGTTCTCACATGCGAATTATTCGGGATTTTGATTACTCACTTTGGTAGAACTTTGGGCCTTCGGACAAACGAGTGGCGACTGTACAGGGCGCCCCATCGAAGGTGAAAAGTGTCAAGTCAGGTGGCCAGAACCGTTAGGCTGAGGTAACAGTACTAGCAACAGTGCTAAATGCCGGATAGATAGTCGCTTGTCAGCCAAGCTGAGAAATCTAATAGGGAATAGCGGGTGAATTCGTTCCGTATTACTTAGAGAACTCAAAATAAATTCATGTGAAATCATTTAGGGGCTTTGCAACTCAGCTTCTCATTTCCGATCCCAATTAAGAGGAAGTAATATTAGCATACAACAAAAGAGAAACCCATTTCTTGCTAAAATTTGAAACTATCATGTAAGGTGTGACCATATTATGAATTTTATATTTCATCTAGGTTTTCGTAAATGTAATAAAATATTTTTTGTTTTTAAAAAATGTTAATATTTAAAATAAACCTATTTTAAAAAATTGTTATGTACCGCAAAAAAATGTATAAATTAGTATGTTTAAAACAATTTGTCAGGAACTTTTGATTAACTCCGAAACACAGATCGCAGACCAATTCAATTGCGTTTTGCTCAATTATTTTTATCGTTGAAGTGGAAAGCCCAACATGTTCCGAATAACTCAGGTTGGCTTGTGGAACTCAGAGCCCGTGTCTAAATGCAAATGTCAACATATAGAAGACAGCTTCCTCTTAGTATGCATCGACGCACTTGGCGGATAAGAACCCGAACTGCAATTAGTGCCACGATCAACATGCGAGGCACGCACATCCAGAGGAGAAGCACTCCTCCTTCTCTTTTCCAGAACAGCCCATACCCAATCCACTACCCATACCATCTGATCCATACCATACTCACTGGAACTCACATCGGACCCATGTTTTTCTGTTCTATTCTATCTCTACTTCTGGAAATGCTTTCAGTCTATCTTAAACACGCAGAGAAATATATTTGTATTGTTTGTTATCAAGTTATAAATATTTATTTAGCTTTTTATGAATTAGTTTTGGCTTTTATTTTTGATATAATAATCATAATTGATTATATCCTAACCGGAGGCCAATAATTTTATTTTTAGATGGATTCACAACATTTTGTTTATACATTCTAATGAAAACAATTTAAATCATTAAAGCAATTATTTTAATGACCACCGTTTATTTCAATAAGAATAAATAAATTTTTTGACAATACATACATATTGTATACTTTATGCAACAACGAGTTCAACATTTTCAACAGTCTTTATGGATCCTTTCATTGCCTATAATGGTCACCCAGCTCGGTTTTCTCTGTTGACTGCAAACTTAGTCAGGACATTACGAAATTAAAGTGTGAGTTTGGGAAGTGAGCCGATCCAGTTGCCAATTACTTTTACTAGGACGATTCCAGTATAAACCATTTTTGTTCAATTCTTAATTAACGAAAACAACTAATGTACAGGTAATTTTAATCAAGATTGTTTCTTTTGATAGGAATTAACCGATTTTGCAGCGTATTTAAATGTTTTTTTTATTATAATTGCTTTATTCATTTGTTGATGATTTCTCGGTCAAGTTGAGTTCAAAATTGTAAATCAGAGTAAATAGAGACATCTGTGCGTTATAATGTTCAGCCAGCAGTATTTGTACGGTGTCTTCATATTTCTAAGCTTGGTCATGAAGGTAAAATAAGTCCTTATATGTATTCAAAACCTTCCTTAAAGCAGTTCTTTTAGGTTAATTCCTATTTGGAATTTACGAACGTAAAATGTGAAGCGTTGGATAAGGAATTTTGTGGATTTGATTATTGTATTTTAAAAGCCGTGAACCGATCGTACAAATACGTTTCCTTAAAGGTAAAACTCTTTAGGACTCCCGTAACCAAAGTAAAGGTATGAAGAAAAATATTATATATGTAAATTTTTAAAGCTAATGATATTTTTACTTTGCGATTTAGCTGAACCTTGGTCTCTATAAACGCTTGAATGGCTATAAACCTTTCCTCTACAATTTAACGATAGACGCCTGCAAGTTCCTAAAATTCCCGAAATCCAATCCCGTTGTTACCTTCTTTTACGAATTCTTCAAAGACTTTTCCAATATTAACCACACTTGCCCATATGACGTAAGTAATCGCCTTTAGTGTCCAGTTTATATAAAAATATGTATCTTTTCAGCATGACCTTGTGCTAGAAAAGATGTCTTATTCTAGTGTTTATAATCATTTCACCACTAAACTGCCTTTTCCGGAGGGAAGCTATATGCTCGAAATGCACTGGATAGCTTACGATATTAAACGAGCCATAACTAAATTCTATTGGTCACTTTCATGAAGTCAATTATTTGTAAACCCTAAAAATACATTTAAAAACCATTACTTTCAAAAATTGTATGGTAATGAAACAATTTAAATATTACGGTTGATTTACTTTATTAGTTCATTCGTTTATTAAAGATCCAGAAGATATACAAAATATATGAAAGACTGTTAGCAACGGTAGCTGTTGTTAGCGGTTGGATGTCTGCTGCTGGTGATTAAAAATCAATAAGTAAATAAATCTTTTATTGCCACCTTAAGATATCTCATTTTCTAGCAGTGCACTCGAGCTTTATTCGCTTTACCGCAACGAACTCTTGCATTTGAGGTCGCTTTCCTCTTGGCAGGCGAAACAAAAGATCGGCCCATTAGAGGCGATTTTACATCATTTGAATGCAATTTAGCCGCAGCTTAGCGTTATGTTCTACTTCGCCACGGCACGAACTGCTGGCCAAGTCAGCTGCAGAGATCAATCTGATTCTCCAGTCTTCAGATTCTTCTGTCATTTGGCTTAGAGCTGAAGAATCGTGCGGCACGGATGATCAGTCGGACTGCCAATTTGGGCCAGTCGCGATACATCTTCATGATGAGTCTGGCATTTCTTGACCAATTTACGATTCTCAACGCAGAATCTTTGGCTCGGCGAAGAGCGGAGAATCTAAGAAAACCGAAAAAGAAAAATTGTGGGGGCGCGGGTTCAACTACGAATACAACCTGGGATCTGAGATCTCAGCATTTCGAGATCGCAGAGATTCGGTCTGCGACTTGACCGGCTCTTAACGAGCGAAAGTGTTTCATTAACTCGTAAATGAATAATTTGAGTGTCGAGACAACGAAAACGAAATCAAAATAAACCGAAACAGAAACAGAAACCAGCACTCCACTCACACCCGAGAAATGCTCGTAAAAATGTACATAATTTTTCAATCTCAATCTGGTTTTGCGCATTTCTATTTCGTCTGTCGTTTGATCCACTTCCGACATACCAAATAAAAAAAAAATGAAAATTTTCATTGCCTCAGTGAAACTAATTTGAGGTGAAAATTGTCAAAATAAAATAAAGAAAAAATGGAAAATATAATGGGTGAAACACATTGAAAATGCCTTGGTGACAGACAGACAGAAAGAGCGAAAGATATGGGTGTGTTTATGCGTCTAAGATTCGGATGCAGTTTTGGATTTGGAAGTGGATTTGGCAACCTGTCGAGACAGCCTTGTCCAAATCCGAGTTCCAATCCGGAGTGTCTCGTGCTGAGTCAGTGGTTTTTTTGTCTGATTTTTTGGCACTTTCTCCAACGACTGTAGTTATCAATGAGTCAGTTTGGAACGTCAAGGAATCTGCGTAAATTGTCGGTTATTACTGGGTGCCTCGCCTCGAATTGGGTCAGAAAATGAGAAAATCAGTGCCGAGAGCCACAGCCTCTTCCTGTCTTATAAGCGCTTTTTTAAGACCAGAAAAGAGAACCGCAAACTAAAAACTTTAACTGCGACTAAAAATCAATTTCCGCACCGACATAGATAGGCGCATGCAAAACGCTCATATCTCTAATGGGCACAGGTGCGGTCGAAATAATAGCACCCCAGGCTGTGCCCATAAACAATTAACCGTTTGGCAATCTTGAAATACAGTTGTAAAAGTTTATACAAATTAGAACGTTCCGATTATGTGGGCTTAGAAATTGGCATTCCTAACATCTGTTAAGAAAATTAAATTCCAACTATGATAATAAATAAGTTAAAAATCTTGAGGAGAATCATATAATGTTTAAGGGGTATCATACAAATAGACCTAGTTATAATGCGATAAATGTATTTACAAAGAAAATAGTGAATTAAAATATTTTGATCTGAATTTTTAAGATCATTGTTATTAAAAGGAACCATTCCTACTCTTTTGGTAACTTGGCAGATACTAACAATCCTAACTTTTCAATACTTTGCATTGCAATCGATGCGACCCCATATACATAGATGTACAGACACATCCATAACAATCCGGCGTCATAATGAGCGACCCACTCATCTTATAGCGGTTAGTGGGATCAGAGAATAATGGCGATGGGGTTTCCTCTCCCCGGTTCCGTGGATCCCGAAGCTAAATGCAACGGGCATAGCCATGGCTATAACGACCACGACTATAGTGAACTGAACTCAGCTCTGAGCACTGAACTGTCAATTGGCCCAGTTCATGAACGTGGTAATTGCGCGGTTAGCGACATATAAAGCGACACCAAGAAAGATTGCGAGGAGACAACAAAACGTTCTCCGGCCTTTTGTTTTTGAGCTCTTTGGACGATCACCTGTCCACCTTTTTAGCCATTCTCAACGCTTTTATTGGTGCCAGTGGTTGGAAGAAAGAATGCTCTTTGCTTTTTGCCGCCCTTTTTTTCGTTTTTTTTTTGGGGGGGAGAGGGAGGTCTTAATTTCTAATTTCTTTTATTACAGACTGGTTTTTTTCGGTGAGGGCCTGGGCCCCTTTTTTTATTGCCATTTTTTCGTTTAAACATCCATAATTTTGTAGCTTTGCAAGCTCGTTTGTGCGCGATTATTGCTCTTGGCCAGGCATTTTCCTACCTCTTACGCTGGAAGTAAAATGTAACCAGTTTTGGACCTTCTACAGGCTGCTTTATTGCATGTCTAACTAGTTTATGGCCCAAGTCGCGGCTTAGGGAGACACCAAAACTCGACTGGAGTCCGCAATGGAATGGTCCTGCTCCCGAGCACCTTTCTTGCAAATGAAGTTGTAAACTTCCAAACAGCTCACCTGCTAGGTTCTGCTTTGCTTAATTATCTTCCCCCGTTGCGAAAGACGATGGGTTCCATTTGGGGAGGAGAAGAGTTGAAAGGTAATACGCCCTGCAATCGATTTGTATTTGAATTCAATCACAAACGTTGCACAGTTTCGCTTATTGATACTATAACTCCCTATCGATTGGGGGATTCACGGTATTTTCTTTTTTTTCGGACACCCGGAGAGCACACGAATTGGAAAAGCCAACTGATCGCGCCCGAGACTGAAGGTAAACTGAAGACGGTGGCCACAAATCTCAGTTGATGGCCTTCAAGAAGCGAAGAAAGAAAAGAGAAATGAAGATGGTCTACCGCTGCGAGAAGAGAGCAGGTCGAATTCTTCCCGCTCTCTCACTCTCTCCGCTCTTTTTCCGTAACTCTCCCTTTATCAGCCAATATCGTTATTCTTCTGTTATTCAAATCAAACAAGTTGTTTCTATTGTTTATTGGCTACTGCAGTAGTTTCAAAGAAAATTAAAATATTTGCAAACTGAAAAGAAAAGTTCCTTATCTTTTTGTTTCGAATGTCAAAATACTGTCATATTTTCGGAATATATTTTAGGTTAGAAATAAATTTAGAGATTAAATTGTTTTGATTCACAACTGTAAAAAATATAAAAACAAATAAAAAAAAATAAAATGAATTTCTACTTCTACGGCTTTGCCAATTATGTATTGAGTAGGTTCCAATCTTTCAAATATGCATACTATGGTAAGATAACATTTTACTGACTTTTTTTAATATTTATAATTTGTTCATTTTTATTTTCATTGTTGGTTATTTATTAAGATAAAGAAACAGCTTAGTAACCTTATAAACTAGCAATGTTTACTGAACATAATTAGTCATATTTTATTTTTTATTTACAACTCAATCTAAACAATTGAAAAGAAAACTTGGTACACAATTTATAAATAGATGTAAAGTAATTGCATGTCTTGTTTGCTTTACTTTAAATTTGGATTTATAATTTAAAACAGCTCACAGGTAACAGAACAATGGATACTTGCACTTTTTATTTACAACATATTATAAACAATTAAGTGGTGATTATGTTGGGATACATTTATAAGCTGGCACTATATACCCTCAAGAAGTCTTTAACCAGCCACGATTGGGTTATTCCAGGACTTGCCAATCATGGCCACCACATCCCGCTTCAGTTTGGGCCCAATCAGAGGATTCATTTGGGCCATGTAGCAGCACAGCCAGAAGAGCCAACAGCAAGCGGCGGTCAGCATCAGGATACAGCGAATCAGGTTCTGATGAGGTCCTTTCGGGGTCATAATAGGCATAGCAATGCCCACGCCGCCCCACAAAGCGGTGAAAAACAGCACGGGAAAGAAAGCGGCGCCCATTTTTCAATATCTAAGCCATAAAGAGTAGGTATTATCCTTGATTTCACGGTATTTTGCTAACCTACCGTTTTTCTCCAAGCTGTTTACGAAAAATCAATAATTATCGGTAGTAATTTATCGATACCTTTTAATTATAAAAACATCGATATGGCGCCACTAGCATACTGTTCTTTGGCAATCATATTCTTAATAAAGCGTCATAATTTATAATAAATAATAACTACAAATAATACCTAATTTAAATTTAAAAACAGTTACCAGTCATGTGCGTTCACACTGGCTTCCGATAACATTTGACTAAAAACCAAGTTGGCACTCCCGCCAAAAAATTTAGCCAGGACACGAACCGCCGCATCACTAACAAAAATATTTACAAATTTTCATTTCGCATAGTTTTACACAATAGATTTTAGGGCCTTAGCAATTATTCCAGCGACACCATGACGATGAGACCTGATGACCACCGAAGGAAATGGGACAAGAACGAGTACGAGAAGCTGGCGGCTGAGCGGCTGCTCAACCAGGTGGCGCCCAAGGAAGAAGGTCAGTAGATGGGTGATTTCTTTACAAGATCTCTCAAACTAACGTATCTCTTTAACCTCCAATCCCCTCCAGAGCCCGTGCAGCGGGAGAACCTCAAGCGACGCGATTACAAGGTGGACCTGGACAGCAAGCTGGGCAAGAGCGTGGTCATCAACAAGAACACACCCACCTCGCAATCGGGCGGCTACTATTGCAACGTTTGCGACTGCGTTGTCAAGGACTCCATCAACTTCCTGGACCACATCAATGGAAAGAAGCACCAGCGCAACCTGGGCATGTCCATGAAGGTGGAGCGCAGCACCGTCGACCAGGTGAAAGAGCGCTTCCAGCAGAACAAGAAGAAGATGGAGGAGAAGCAGAAGGACTACGAGCTGGAGCGGCGTCTGCGGGAGGCCAAGGAGGAGGAGGATCGCTACAAGGAGCACCGCAAGGAGAAGCGGAAAGAGCGCAAGCGAAAGGCCGAGGACACGGACTTTGAGTCCGGCGGCATGCCCGACGACATGGCCGCCATTATGGGCTTCTCCGGCTTTGGTGGCTCCAAGAAGAACTCGTAGGAACTAAGTGTTGAACTGCCCCCAAAACCCCCCTCCAATTTTAGTCGTACATTGAAATAGAAACTTACCACCAAAACAGTTCAGTTATTTTATGTTAGCTTGTGACATTTATTATTTCGTATATAAGACAATTTTACACCAGTTGTCCAGCTAATCCCGGCTGTTCCCAGTTAGAATAATTTAATAAGCAGTCAGAGTGCAAAAATGACTAAAACCATTTCACTAAGTCTAAGCATACGGCCGTCGAACACCTTTCGGGTAATTAGAGGCTTAGGTGAACACAAATCCCTGCTCGGTGGGAATGTCCCAAGGCATGTTGAAGAACTCTCCGGGCAGCTGGGTGCAGTGCGTGGAGTTGTAGTCACGTAAATGCTTGCGCAACTGAAAGGTGGACAGAATTAGTTATCTTAACACTTTAAACTGCCAAAACAAAAACCCACCAAGAACACAGCCATGAGGTTGCGCACCTCGTCTGAGTAATCCGCGCCTATGTTCATGGGGAAGGACTTGCCCTCGTCGGAGGCGTATGTAATCAAGCGAGACATGCAGAGCTTCTCGTCGGCGGTGGGGATACTATAAGGCTCCAGTGGTTTGGACAGCAGCCCCTTGGCCTTGTTCAGCTGGGAAGCCCCAAAAATGTTGGGGTACCTGTGCTTGAGCACCGACAAGACCAAGAAATTGCCGCGATTAGTCTCAATGTGGTTGTCCCTGGCGATATTCAAAGGTTTTCCTTATTAAAAACTCTTATAAAGTGGGAAAATCATCACTCACTCTGCAATAATCTCATCCTCAGTGCGGCGAATGAATGATATGGGTCCATTGAACTCGTTGGCCAGCTCGGCATTGTTCAAATTGCAGTAGTTGCGAATGGCTACCTTGACAATGCCCGCCAGAGGTGCTGGCATACGCGGAACGGCCAAGTAGAGGACATCATCGAAGGTGGCGTCCAGCACCACTCCCTTGACATCCGGATATACAGAGGCAGCGTACAATGTGCTGAAGCCACCGATACTCCAGCCATACAGAATGATATCCTCCACGGCGAAGCCTAGATGATTGATGGCAAACTGCACCACAGCATCGATGGCGTTCTTGTCCTGGTGCGGATGAGGTGTGCCCGTGCTGCCGGCGAATCCGGGGTGATTCCAACCCAGAACTGAGTACTTTAAGGCCACTGGGGTTCCCATTATGCCAACTTCATAGAAGCCGGCATTGCCTTCGGAGCAAATGACTAGAGCCTTGCCATTGCCCACGTTATCGTTGCGGTTGTCAATAAACAACGTATCGATTTCGTTCGAGTCAATGGTCTTAACCTTGTAGCGGATGCCGTTGTCATCCTCGATGAGCTTGGCGCGTCCAGAGATCAGCATGGGTCCTGTGTAGAGATAGGCATATATTAAAAATTTGAATTTTAAAAGGACTATATAAATAAGAAGCTTAAATAAATACCATAGTTTGTACGACAAACGATGCAGTCTTAATATGTTTGTATGTGTTTTCTAAGCAAACTAGTTTGTACATTATCTTGGCAGAAAGTTACAGCCAGTATATGAGAATGACTAATATTTCTTAAGCTGTATGTAAATGTGACATACACATTTGAGAAATTGCGCACAACTTAAAAAAATCTGCCTTGACCGATTGCAATTTAGCTAACTCCTGATAAGCTTTCTCCCTTACTCATGAATTTCTGAAGCAGCTTGACGGAGCCCGGATAGATCATGGAGAGCCCGAATGTGTTGATGGCGAGGTAGGCGATGACCTCACAAGGCACAGTGTCCAGTTTAAGTGGCTCCTTCCTGCTGGCCGTGACCACGGGCTTCTTGGTGTCTCTGGACAGAAAGGGTTATTAGACAAACACTGTAGAGGTCACAACCACTCACCCCGTCAAAGCCTTTACATCGAAGTCCACCGGCCAGGCGTTGAACTCGATGTCGAAGCGACGAAGGTCGCTGTTGGCATCTCCCGCCGTCTTGGAAGCCTTTGCGCGAACCAGGGCCTTCATCATGTTGGAGTAGGAGCGGGATTGCTTGCGCCCAAGGCCGCGCATCACCAGCGAAATTATCACAATGAGGCCCACGCTGGTGGTGATCTTGGCCAGCGTCGGCAAGGAGTCGGTCACCAGGTAGCCGCGTCGATAGAGGAATGTGACGAGCAGCGGCGATGTGTAGTAGCCCACGGACCACATCACCGAGAGCTGCAAAGAGGAAAGTCCACTTTCTACACTGCCATATGCTCTGGCTTTCAGCCCGACTCCCCAAGGGATCGGAGGGCACACATACCGTGGACAGAATCTGCTCGCCGAACTTCTCCACCGCACCCGCCTCGTACATCTTGCGCTGTGGCTCCGGAACACCGCGGTACTCCATGAACAGATTGGGGCCGAACACGTAATTGAGGAAACTCATCTTGGATAGGATCGGTTTCGGTATGTCGGGATATATTTAATTTTTTCAATTTTATTTTTTTTGTACTTGTAGTTGATGTGAAAGCTGTTCCAGGGTGTCGCACTCACAAACAGATGGTTGACATCGATTTTCAGGGCTGGCAAGTAAAATGACTTAACGGTTAAAACGGTTAAATTATTTGATTTAAACATAAAAATCAATAGAATGTGTCAGCTCCTAAACTGTTTAAAATTAATTGGAAATTTATAACGCAAATTTGGTGATTATAGCATACAAATTTAATTTCTATATATTTTTATGGAAATTGATAATGCAAATTTGATAATATATTCAAGCATTTATTAAATAGTTTCCAATTGGAAATGAACTATAAAGTTCACATAAGCATAAAGTTCCTCTTGGAACTAGTTCGCCTAATTGCTGTTATCACTTTCCCTGCATCCCTGGTTCTACCCCCAAGAATTTATTCCCAGTTGATAGACAAAAACGCCGGTTAAAAAATGGAGAAGTTCAACAAAGCGCAGGCCAAAAATTTAGCGGCTGCCCAAAAACTGGTGGACAACTACGCCTCCAGCTCCGAAGATGAAGGCGAACTGGATGAACAGCATATTTTGGGTAAATCAACCGCCGCCTCTCGTGACGTGTCATTCAAAAGCTTCAAACTATTTCGGCTTTATCTTTCGCACATTATGTAGAACTCCTGTACAAGAACTACAGACCCACGGAGAGCGCAGGGATCTCCAAGGATGCGGCCCGCACCAGTACGTTCCTGGAGAACACCCTCCACTCGGGAGCAGCCACTTGCCTCATCTGCATCGGAAGCATCCGCCGGGTGGAGGCCATTTGGTCCTGTGAGAGCTGCTACTGCTTCTTCCACCTGAACTGCATCCAGCGGTGGGCCAACGACAGTATGATGCAGATGAAGGTGAAGGCGGCGGAGCAGCAGAACGGCCAGACCAGCCAGGGGTACTACAATCACCTGGGCGAGTTTGTGCCGCCCAAGCGCCAGAAATCCTTGCACTGGTGCTGTCCCCAGTGCCGCAGGGACTACCAGCCGGCGGAGAAGCCCACGCAGTACAACTGCTTCTGTGGCAAGGAAGTGAATCCTGAGAACCAGCCCTTCCTGGTGCCCCATTCCTGCGGCGAGATCTGCGGAAAACTGCTGCAACCGAAGTGTGGACACGATTGCAAGCTGCTATGTCATCCGGGGCCATGTCCACCGTGTGCCCAGCAGGCACAGGTCTCCTGCTTGTGCGGCAAATCCAGTCCCAGATCCATGAGATGCATCGACAAGCAGTGGAGATGTCAGCAGCTGGTAGGGTTATACTACTTTTTAGAGAATTTTCCTGCTATCTTATGTGTCCACCTTACAGTGCAAGGATCTTCTGGCCTGTGGCAAGCACAAGTGCAATCAAGTGTGCCATCGACCAGGACAGTGCCCTCCCTGCACTAGCAAAAGCCTGCAGCCTTGCGAGTGCCAGCGGGAATCCAAGATGGTCAGCTGCTCCGATCGCAAATGGAAGTGCCAGAACGTAAGGATTACCTATTGAGTCAGCTAAAATATAATAAACATGTGTTAATTCTTGCAGGTATGTGGAGCTCCTTTCGCTTGTGGTTTGCATATTTGCGAAAAGGTCTGCCATGCCGGTCCTTGTGGAGATGGCGAGTGTCCCTTGCAAGTCAGAAGTTGTCCTTGTGGCAAGAATGTATGTCTATCCCGGAAGCATTAGGATATCTTTATTCATTTGTACTTAATTCTGCAGACTCAAGTAAGACCCTGTAATGAGGCGGAGGAAACGTGTGGCGATACTTGCCAGAAGCTGTTGTCCTGTGGCCAGCATACTTGCACTCAGCGCTGTCATCGGGGACCCTGCATTTCCGTAAGATGTTTTCCAAGAAAATATACCAGTTCTCTAAGGAAAATTTATGTTTTTAGTGCCCCGTGAGAACTAAAAAGAAATGTCGCTGTGGTCTGCATGAAAAGGAGCTTCCTTGCTCCAAGGAGTTCACATGCGAAACTAAATGCAAGCAGATTCGTGATTGTGGCAAACATGCCTGCAATAGAAAGGTGGGAATTCCTTCTAGGCATTTTAAATTAGATTGTTTACTTATCGTAATGCTTTTCCAGTGCTGTGGGGATCAGTGTCCACCATGCGAGAAGATTTGTGGCAAGCAGCTGAGCTGCAACAAGCACAAATGCCAGTCCGTGTGCCACAATGGACCATGCTATCCCTGCAAACTGGAGTCCCAAATAAACTGCCGCTGTGGAAAGACCAAACGAAGTGTTCCTTGTGGAAGAGAGAGGAGTGCCCGCATCGTCTGCTTGGAACTCTGCCGGTTGGTGTTACTTGTCGAGTATATACTGGTCAACTGTTTAATCCTCTTCTCATAGCATAACTGCCAAATGCCACCACGCCATTAAACATCGCTGTCACAAGGGCGAGTGTCCTCCTTGTGGCCAGGTGTGTGGGCTTCCCAATGACACCAGCAAATGCGGACACATCTGTAAGGCTCGCTGCCATGAGGCAGTTAGAGCTAACAAACCCAAAGAGGCTAAGCCACAGGCTAAAAAGGTACATTAAAAATGCTTAATAATTTCTTATCGAATTTAAACCCATTCTAATTCGAATTACAGTACGAGTATAAGGCTCTACCCCATCCCCGGTGCGAAGAAGGAGTCGTTGTCACCTGCATCGGGGGTCATGAGGTGGCCACCTGGCCCTGCTGGAACTCCAAGCCCAGCTCCTGCCAGAGAAAGTGTGCGCGCCAGCTTAAGTGTGGCAATCACAAGTGCTCCTTGGTTTGCCATTCGGTGGAGCTTCCGCAGGACATGGCCCAGCAAGCTGGTTGCGCCAACTGTGAGGAGGGTTGCTCTGTTCCCCGACCCACCGGATGTGTTCATGCCTGTCCCAAGGGCTGTCATCCTCCGCCCTGTGCGCCCTGTAACTTTGTGATTAAGAGCAAGTGCCACTGTGGTCTCAATCAGTTGGTGTACAAGTGCAGTGAGTATTTCGATGAGTCGGGCACTGTCCAGGAGATTATCGAGCGGAGGGAGAAGCTACGTAGCTGCCTCAACCGGTGCTTGAAGAATGTGGGTATATCTTAGCAAATACAGGATATAAAGAGATTTAATTTCCTTTAATCTTCTAGTATCCCTGCGGACATCGCTGCACAGCTATTTGCCACTCGGGCAAGTGTCCAAATCCCGATTCGTGCCGCAAGAAGGTTCGCATCTTCTGCGCCTGCAAGCGACTCAAGCAGGAGATTGCCTGCGACAAACACCGTGCTGGTCAAACATTTTTGGAATGCGATTCCATTTGCAAGGCTGAGCAATCACGCGCCCAGGCGGCGGAGATACAGCAGCTGGAGCAAAAGCGTCGCAACGAGGAGGAGCGAAACCGCCTGGAGCTCGAGAAATTCGAGGCGAAGTTCGGCAAACGCAAGCACAAGGAGCGCAAAACAGTGGACGTGGGTCCGGCCAAAACCAAGATCGACTGGCAGCGCTGGGCCATCTATCTTGTGTCCATCCTCACAGTAGTAGGTGCAATTGCAGTGGCTTTCTACGCGGACAGTTAAACGAGTGACAACAAACAATTTAAACTAGTATTTCTAATATCAATTTAAACAGATAAGCAAATCGAATTAAAACAATGACTGATAAGCACTTCCAGGCAGCGCAGTGTTTGTCTATGTTGAGCTCTTCCTATCAGGGTGACCAATTACTCCGCCTTGGCCTTCTTCTTGTAGAAACAGGCGGCGGCGAAGACCGAGGCACTAAGGAACGTCGAAATCAGGAAGTTGGACAGCAACATCCAGTCGTGGGATTGGAAGAATACCGTGTATATTCGAGCTGTAAGCGATAAATTCGTTAATTGATGACCTCAAGCGGGGGAATGCAAGCTGTGATCTCACTCATGTTTGTGAAGGCGGAGAGCGCCCATGTGGTTCTACTGACGGAACTGGCATCTTTGGTCCTTAGGATTGCCAGCAGCTGGAGGACCTTGCTCGTGGCTCCGATGGGCGTGCAGAATGGCTGAAGAAAAAGAAATATTTAAATAAATTCCGCAATATATATCAATTGCCCGAGCACAAATGGTATTAATAGCCGCTCAAATATTATACAACAAACACCGGTGACCTTGGGAAGAGATGCTGCCCAGTTAAGAGCGCCTCCCTTCCAAACTAAAAGAAATCAAAGCAAACCAGTTTACTCTATAGCATAATTAGTTAATTAAAAAAGTGAGTGCGGAACGGGTTTTGAATTTCGCCGAAGTCGTTATCTGGGCAAGCATTCCCACCTAATCAGTAGCCAGGTGATAGCTATGCTTACTCACCACCAGGAACGTAAGGATGATAACGGGGAAGAGCTTCAGGTAGATGAGGGTGGCCACTATGCTGTAAAACACGGCCACCAGCTGAGTCCTCTTGCCCAGCAGATCCTGGTACTTGAAGGCATAGTAAATCAGGGCGTACTCCTGCAGCAGCAGGACAGGATACTCCATGTACGAGAGGAAATCATAGCCACTGGTGTAGTTGTAGGACAGCATCACGGTATAGCTGAACAGCTCCAGGCACAGTCCCAAAACGCTAATGCCTAATCCGGAATCATGGATATCATGAGTGGGAGGTTGGTTGTGATGATTTTGTGTGGGCGGTGCTCACCTTTCGAGGACTCGTTCGCCCGGATCGTGTTGATCTGCGGCACCTTGATGACCAGGCAGGAGGAGACCGTGATCAGGCTCAGCAGGTCCGCTATCACGAGCACCAACCCCCGCTCCAGATATTCGGACACCACATCTCCGAGAGCTCCACTCATTGCGACCGTCGAAATTCGAAATTTACAATTTCTGAGTGTGACCTAAACATTGTGTGGACGGAAATACTAGTGTTACCACATCCCCCTTCCTTCTTATTAAATTGCGATAGATATTATGAAAAACAAACATGTTTATACCTATTTCATTAACTTGTTTAATATGCTCTTTGATCCTGGCTTCTTCAAAATATTGATAATTTAATATTCAAGCATAATACGTATACAAATAAAAATAACAGTGTAACAACAATTAAGTTTGATTTATAAAAAAACATACATATCTTATATATTAACAAACAGAAAGACCCCAAAAATCCTAACATTTTGGAAATTTTTGAAAATTAATTTTGAATATTGGCGTCGTGTCACACGCAGACACGCTCATCTCTAGCTTGGAATCGAAATTCCCATGGTATCTTTGAATCGTCGAGCGGCGGTCACACTGGATCCGCATAGTTTTTTTTTCGGGTCCAAAATCTGTCCAAATCCGCAAATTACATGCATATTCTTGTATCTAAAGATCAGAAAACTAGATAGACAGAGTGAGAGTCGGCTGAAAAACGCAAAAAGTTCGCAATTCTCCGAGGAGCAACGTCCTTAAAACGTATGTGAAAAATTCGATTGCGCGTGTGTGTATGGGCTGCGCCAGTGTGTGTGAGAGTGGGCCCAAACGCAAAAACTTTTACACGCGTAAATGTGCACTTAAATAGTTGAAAACAACAATTGTAGCCACAAAAGCGGGGTGTGTGTGTTTTGGGCTCATCCAAATTACAGCTACCCAAAAGTTTATAAACAATTTGCACGGGACCACGCGCATTTAAACTTTTGCTGCGAGTGAGTGAGTGAGCATGTGTGTGTGGCTCTGCCTGTGTGTACAACAATGTCCACATTTTTCTTTTGTTGTTTGCTCCACGAATTATGGGGCTATGGCTATCCCTCCGTATTCCATCCGCTGCATTTGCAGGTGCAGAAAAGTGGGGTTAGGGAAGCCAGCGGATGTGGGGAAGCTCGAAATCCTCAAGGAACGCGCATTGCTGCTCTGAATTTGCAACGAAAGTAATCTATTTTTGGGGGACTGGGACTGGGACTGGGGACCACAGGTCTCCGTCTCTCTGCCCATTTGGCTGCGTGTAAATGTGAGCGTGTGTATGCAACGATTATGACGACTCCACACCCGTGGTTAAAATCCACAGAGAGAAAATGTTCTTGAGCGCGCATCCCCGATATTGTGTTGTCCTGTGGCACAGGTAAAATGCGTATCAAAATGCGGTGTGAAAGCGGAGAGCCCTAAAGCGACCCTAAAAAACGTATTTTTTCGGGAGGTCAACAGCCAAAGGCCAGGGACATTGGGAGGGGGACAGGAGGGTGGGAAGAGAATGAGAATAAGAGAAAATGTTCGGGAGAAATGCCTGCACATCTGATCTGTTTGGCCAGTGATGCAACAGCAGGAGCGCTGAAAATTCCTTTGTGATCTCGCCCCTTTTGTTCTGCGGATGCTGCGCTGCAATGGCTGATCTCTGCGGCTCCTCCTCCTCCTTTCGTCGTCCTCCTCCTCCGAATCTTCCAATCTCTGCCTGCAGCGATCCCTTTTTCTACTCTCTCGGGATCGAGAGCGTCTGTGTGTGTGTGTCTGCTGGTAGGATGTGATGGCCAGTCAAGCTGCTGTCAAGCATCGGAGATGCGCAGCTACGATTTTCCAGTCACTGTGACTGGGAAGAAGGATCAGAGAAGCGTAAAAAATGTATTTTCTAAAATGTCATCGATCGCTGATTCATGATATAAAATGTATTGATTATCTTGTTTTTCACTCCGAGTGGCATGTGATTTCGCGTTTTCCGAGAAAAAGCACTTAGTTGGAGTTGTTTGTTTTAAAATGTGACTAACCTCAATGTTTGTTGGTATTTTAATTTCGAAATTTAATTCAAAATCACGTTTTTTCTGATTTAACTTGACATTGATGTGACATGTTTTTTTTTAAAGCCCTAAAATTCTGTGACTCAACCTGGTGGCAGTAGTAATCTTTGCTTGGGCATGCATAGATTCTACAACTAGTCAGCACTTTACATTTCGTGACTAAATGCAACGATTAGCAACAGAGCATAGAAAAAAAAAGTAATTTTATAAACCATGAATATTAAAATTAGTTCTATAAATCGGAGTATTCTTTTCACTAATTTTAAATCTTTCAAGTGATCCCAGTTACTTTATTAAAAGGCCAAAATGTTTTCCCAAGCTTGAGTTCAGTGACTCATTGTCCCGGTAAACAGTGACTGCTCCCCGCGTTGATCATCTCCGAAAGCCAGTCAAAAGCGGAGGGAAAAGATAGCGGCTTGAATTGCAAGGTGTACGTGATGTTGTTGTTTTTGTTGTTGGTGGTGCGGCTGCTGTGTATCTTTGGTGCTTCTTCTTCTTACGTCCGTTACTTCTCGCTCTCGTCATCTCTGTTCTTCTCTCCTCTCCGCAATACCTTTTTGCTGCCTGCTGTCTCTCTTCGCTGTTGTTGTAATACCCGTTTCGTCTTCTTTTTCCCATTCTACTTCGCGCCGTTTTAGTCTCTTCCGCCGATCCGATGCACTTTTGTGATTTCCTTTTTCGAGTTCCAGCGACGCCGGCAGAGGCAGCGACGTTACAACAAATTTTTCCCACTGCTTTTCATTGCTTTGGATTTTTTTTTTTGCAACCATCAGTTTGCGCTTGTTGCGTGGGAATTTCGGATCATCTTCGATTCTCAGGGCAAAAAAGGATCGAATTTGTTGTAAGCGGTGAAAAATTTGTAATACCCTTGGTTTCTCAAGTTAGAGCTTCTTTCCCTAATTTCAAATTTATAGAACATCTTTTATTTTTCCACGCATCCTTTGCTCGAAACTTCCAAACACTGAATGGGAAAGAATTTAATTTCCCTACAGATATCGTGCTCCTAACTTCGCATTTATCAATTCCAAATCGTTAATCTTTCCAGGAGAGCGTGCTGCCCACTTTTGAATGCCTGAAAAGTATTATGGAAAGAGGATGCCCAGCTGCTAGCAGTGAATCCGTGGCCAGTGCAGGGGAGCGTACTCAGTCAGCAGTCACCAGCTCCACCTCCACGTGGGCCAAGAGTCAAGCCTCCACCAGCCGGAAAGCAGGAGCATCAGAGGGATTAGGAGCGGCATTAGGAGCAGTAGGATCAGCAGGATCACCAGAAGCCGGCGGAGAAGCCTTTGTATCTATGTCAACGCTGCGGGACGATGTGGAGGACGTGTGTGTGTCGTCAAACTCACAACATGGTTTCGCCGTAGTTCTGGACGACGAGTCCAGCACCTTTGAGATTAGCTCTTCCAACTCACTGCCCACCAGTGCGGGGGCGGCGTCCACGGTGGGCGTGGTGGCCGTCGACGACAGCTCCTCCACGGACACCTTGAACGGTGGTCATCCGGGTCTAGGCCACACCGCCTCCTCGGAGCACAGTCGTCAGGGCTTCTTTAACGAGGACAATGAGGATCCTCCGGTTGTATGTCTTATAAACGACGATGACGATGATGAGGAGCCCGAGCCGGAGGACGAGTTTGAGGAGGAACTGATTGAGGACGATGACGAGGACGTAGTGGATATTGTAGTGGCCGCAATCGACTGCCCGAACACATCACAATTGGCTCTGGCCGATGGCACCATCATGGCGGCAGATGGCTCCAAGATCTTCCTGGAGACGCCCGTCGTGGAGGAGGCCCAGCCGCACCCCGGCCAAGTGGTCACGACCGGACCGCAGTCAGAGCTCACAGGCAAGCCGAAGAGATTGAGCGACGAGTTCTTGCTGGGCGAAGAAGAGCAGGCGGAGAATCTGGCATTAGGAAGAAGTATCAAGTCTGAACCGGTCAGTGCCGGCCTGGACGACAATCCCTCTGAGGGCGACGATGCGGCCACTTGCTCCTCCCTGCACGACCGTCTCATGTCTGTGCGCCTGAAGCAAATGAGCCTGACGGCCAACGCCGTTTCGAATCCCTCGCCAGCAGCCTCTGCCAACGCTGCCGCCCCCGAGGAGGCCTCCACATCCAGCTCCAGCTCAAACTCCAGTTCGGCCTTGTCCAAGGCAGACATTGAGTCCATGGATCTGATCGAGCGCCGTGACTTCGAGACGGAGCAACGCCTGACGGGCGGCATCATCCTGCGCACCAGCTCCATGATGAGCCAGAACAAACTGAATCTAAGTCTGATCAAGTCCGTGGCGGGGGGCAGCAGGATGGCCAATGGATCGGGCGCGGCCAACAGTGACGACTGGCCCAGCAGCAGCAATGGGCGCACCGTCTCCTCGGACAGCAAGTACACCTACAACAAGGATCTGTCCACGACTCCCACGAGCAGTCGCAAGTACACCAACAGCCGGCTAAGCAAGTCCACTGCCAAACTAAATCTGGGCTCCACGCTGGGCGCCTCCAGTTGCAGCCAGCATCGGAACAGTTCTAGTTCCACGTCAAAATCCACAGAGTCATCGACCAGCTGCACCGGAGCAGCCCGAACGGATGTGTACACCAACACCAATTCGAATGATTACCCAGGTCTGGCTCCATCTGCATCCGGATCGTCCACATCCAGTGGCAGCTGCCAACAGGATCAGGAGGAGAATGCAAGCGCATCGGTCTCGTATAGCTCGGTGGGATCGCAGACCTCTCAGGAAGGTGGTTGCAGTCGCACCACCGCCATCAATCCAACAGCGGATTGTTCTGCCGGAACCGCTTGCTTGGGTGACTCTCAGGCTTCGACATCGGCTTCCACCTCATCCGGAGCTGGAGCGTCCAACTCAAATCGTTGCCAGTATGCCACAGCATCAACGACGAAAGCAGCTCGTCAGGTCAATGCCAGCGCCCAAACCCAAGAGCGTTTCCTGGCACGCAGCAATCTTTCAGTTGCGAGTGGAGCGGGAGTAGCTGGTGCCCAGCCGGCTGCATCTGTTCGGCAACGACGAAACGGTTCCAGCGATGTTGTTCACCTGGAAGTGGTGGTGGAAGAGGGAGCTGCCGGTGGAGACGGTGGCCTAGTGGAGCCCGGAGACTTTAGTGCCGAGGAGCCGTGGGGCAACTGCGATGAGGAGAACAACTGCTCCGACTTGGAAGAGATCTGCACGTGCCAGAACGGTAATGGGAGCAGCTACGGCGGTAGCAATGCTAGTCTCAGCGAGACCTTCGATCTGGACGTTATGGACCCCGATGAGCCCATCTCCCTGTCGCTTTCCACTGCCGCTTCTGCCGTCGGCTTCTCCGAGTGCTCGCTGACCAATCCCAGCTCGCTAATTTCACAACAGCGCAAGCGGAAGTACAACGAGGGACGTCTGCTAGATGGCGGTGACTACTCGCTGACCATCTCATCCAGCGGCGGAGTGGGCGGACCTGGTTCGGGAGTCAGTGACAATTGCCGAAAACGGATTGCCTACGACTTCGCATCTACGCCACGCTCCTCGCAACATTCGGGACCCACGGCAGTGCTGTCGTTGACCCCCTCATTGCACCTGGCCACCGCCTCGCCGGGATCGGCTTTGGGTCGTCGCACGCCGCGTTCGGTTCCGACTCGTGACAATCCGCCGCCAGAGCTTCAGCACTGGTTGGGCCAGTTCCAACGATGGTCGCATGTCGAGCGACTGCTGGCCCTGGACCGTCTTATCGATCACTGCGATCCCTCGCAGGTGCGCCACATGATGAAGGTGATTGAGCCGCAGTTCCAGCGCGACTTCATCTCCCTGCTGCCCAGAGAGTTGGCCCTCTTTGTGCTCTCCTACTTGGAGCCCAAGGACTTGCTGAGGGCCGCCCAGACCTGCCGCAGCTGGCGTTTCCTGTGCGACGACAACCTGTTGTGGAAGGAGAAATGCCGCAAGGCCCAGATCCTTGCCGAGCCGCGCAGCGATCGCCCGAAACGAGGACGCGATGGCAACATGCCCCCAATTGCCTCGCCTTGGAAGGCCGCTTACATGCGCCAGCACATTATCGAGATGAACTGGCGGTCGCGACCTGTGCGCAAGCCTAAAGTTCTGAAGGGCCACGACGATCATGTTATCACGTGCCTGCAGTTCTCCGGCAATCGCATTGTATCTGGTTCCGATGACAATACGCTTAAAGTATGGTCGGCGGTGAATGGAAAGGTAAGTAGTTCGAGCTTTACCTAAATTTACCTTTCTAAAATACTGTTTTCTTTTGCATTTACAGTGTCTGCGAACTCTGGTGGGTCACACCGGTGGCGTTTGGTCTTCCCAAATGTCCGGAAACATCATCATCTCGGGCAGCACGGATCGCACACTCAAAGTCTGGGACATGGACAGTGGCGCTTGTGTCCACACGCTACAGGGGCATACATCCACGGTTCGCTGCATGCATCTCCATGGCAGCAAGTAAGTGAAAGCCACACATCTACATGGTAACCAATGCTAATGCTAACGAATTTCTCCCCAGGGTGGTAAGTGGTTCGCGAGATGCCACTTTGAGGGTATGGGACATTGAACAGGGCTCCTGTCTGCACGTCCTGGTTGGTCATTTGGCCGCTGTACGATGTGTACAATACGATGGGAAGCTAATTGTGTCAGGAGCTTATGATTACATGGTGAAGATCTGGCATCCGGAACGGCAGGAGTGCCTGCACACTCTGCAGGGGCACACGAATCGCGTCTACTCGCTGCAGGTAGGATTAGTTAAAGATTTGTGTTTGCGAATTTTTATTTATTTTGAACCCTTCACAGTTTGATGGCCTCCATGTGGTTTCGGGCTCTTTGGACACCTCCATCCGCGTGTGGGACGTGGAGACGGGCAATTGCAAGCACACCCTGATGGGTCATCAAAGTTTGACATCCGGTATGGAGCTACGCCAAAACATTCTCGTCTCGGGCAATGCCGACTCCACTGTCAAGGTGTGGGACATCACAACCGGACAATGTCTGCAAACGCTATCGGGTAAGTTTTAAATATGGGATAACCACAAAAATGTGATCACTTTATTTTAAACTTAATAACTTTACTATTATTTTTGAAAAAGAGTTGTAATACCTCACTATTACGTTTATTTTACTCAGCATATCTTCAGTATTTTCTAACTCAAACTATTTTAATCCCATCCAGGTCCAAACAAGCATCAGTCTGCGGTCACCTGCCTGCAGTTCAATTCCCGATTTGTGGTGACCAGTTCCGACGATGGCACTGTCAAATTGTGGGACGTTAAGACGGGCGACTTTATACGTAACCTTGTGGCCCTGGACTCTGGTGGATCCGGCGGCGTTGTGTGGCGGATTAGGTAAGTCTTCGACAGTACAATTCCGCTTATTACAAATGAAACTAATCATTGCTTTTATTTTAGGGCAAACGACACAAAACTCATTTGTGCCGTGGGCTCCCGCAACGGAACGGAGGAAACAAAGCTCATGGTCCTGGACTTTGATGTGGAGGGGGCGTGTGTCAAGTGCTCATAGGAGCCGGTGGGGCACTTCCGTTCGGGTCTTCGCCGGCACGTTTGGATCCAGGCGGCGAATGGCCAAGGACGGGGCAGCTAGTATACAGCTTCAAGCGAGATTTCATTGCAAACTCATCTAAGCACAGAAAAACACACACACAGACGGATACCGCGGATGTGAAAGTCCGCAACGTAATGTTGATTGCCTTGCCAACAAAATGCAGCTGCTCACATACACCACATACACCACACACACCATACACACCATATACACTAAACACACAAAACAATCAAGGGAAAAATCAAGAGGAGAAGAAGGAGGAGGAGGGTCGGGTGGTCGGGGTGTGGCTGTGGCTGTGAGTGTGTATTGTTAATAATACCTTCTTTAATTTACGTTGCTTCATAGCCAAAATTCGTTTTCCACCGTAGAATAATTTCGCTTCTTAGTTTTTATTACGATTATCCATATGGCGAGAGTCGATTGAATTAATTCTAATATTATGATTACGTATTACAAACCGCAGATACATCTATGCAGTTGCAGATGCAAATACCTTGTTGTTCCGCGTCGTGTGAACCCGAGAGAACGTTTATGAAAACAGAGCTTTATATTGATTAAATTGTAATTTGTTTAACTGGAATTCGGATAAGTTGGATATGTTAATATTGGCCCAGCACTTGAGTTGAGTTTGCCGTCTATTATGTTTACATTTGTGGTTTTGTTTCGTCCAATTTGTTTTGTTTAAATGTATACCTGGAGTTAACTACAATCTATTATCGTGTTCTGATTGTTTCTCCATTAATTTGAATTTGATTTGATTTATTTGTCATGTAGTAGCGTTAACGATATTGGCTTCCAATTCCAAATTCGAAATTCCTCATTTGCCAGGAACCTGCCACAATTGCCGTACATAGTGTTTAAGAGTCATCTGCCGAACTCATCGAGCAGCAGCTCACCCCCGCAAGTAACAAAATAAAAAACAGAAAACATAAAACAACTGCAACTACAACACTGCAACACAACAACACTCACACACGTGAAATCATTAAGCGAACATATATTTTAATTATAGACTGATTTATTAGTAATTGAAATTAATCTACAAATATGTATGTGTAATGGTACCGTATGTATTTCAATAAAATTTATCGGTTTAAGCATAAATCTGAATAAACGCAGGAATAATAATACAAATAATTAAAACTATGTCTTATGTGATTATTGTTTATTGGGGTTGCGTATCTTCAATGTTTGTTTTAAGCAGTTGACGGAAACAATTCCGTTTTATTGCATGCTTTACTTCTATAATAAAAGAAATATTTTTTTAGTGTATGCGCGTAATTTCACTTTATTTGTTCATTATTTAACTGGAGATCGCTCCAAAAACAATAAAATATTCCATATCTTATGATACAACTAGTGTAAGCCTATGAATGGACGATGCTTGGATAGTTTCCGTCTTTAGATCTTCGCTGATATCCTCCGGTTACCAGCTTTTAATTGACCAAGGAAACAGTTCCATATGCGAGGGATTGCGAATTCATTTACGGGGTTATTTATACATGTTAACCTTTTTAATCAAACAAATCACTTCAATGCGATTCAATTCCAAAACCATAATGGGAAAGTAATAAACTTAAATTTAAGTTATGCAAACTAAATAACTATCAATTAAGTGCGTAATTGACTTTAAGTATTCAACGTGGTGTCCAATTTCCTCACTACATCTTCGACTTCTTGCTGCTGTGCCCCTCGATGCCAACATTGCAGCGCGAGGTCACGTCCTGGGCTGAGGTGATCGTGCTGGGCACTCCACCGCCTCCCAAAGCGGAAATAGTGCCATTGCTGGGTCGCTTTCGCGTGGGCGAGTGAACCGGCGACTTCTGCTTCAGGCACTCCACGTCGTTAAAAACCACTTGAGCACCGCCGCCACAAGTGGGAATCACGTTGCCCTTGTACAGCTTGGTCTCCACATCGCCATCCGTATCCGCGTCCTGAGAGACGAGACAGTACTTGGTGGTTCCGTGGGCAGTCAGCTCCTTCATGTCGGTTAGTTTCGTCACCGATTTGCGATTCTTCAGATACGGCTGCATGATGGTTCCCAGAGGCACGGGATTGGCGGCCCGGTGCTCAAGCCACTTGTCGCCGGCAGAACGAGAGCGTCTATGTCGATTATTGGCCGCTGCAGCACCCTGTAAGGCAAATCAGAAATGTTAGAATCGTTATTTTAAAAACTATGATAGCCTTCTTACATGACGAGGCGTGGCGTAGATATCTGTTCTTGTTGCCGGCACCGAAGACTCTTCGGTACGCGCTGTATATGCACCACGATCCTTTTCGTTGAGAATGTTCTCGGAGCTCTGGGAACGCGGCAAACTGGGCATATCCTCTGACTGCAGAATGTTCGAGACCAAGCGCAGCTTCTCGTCCTTGATGCGCATGCGTTCCTGCAGCTTCGCACGCTGCTCACGCAGCTTCAATTCAAACTCGCGCTTGTTTTTGTCCGATTCGACGGCCAGCTTAGAGCTGAACTTTTTCTTTTGCTTCTCCTTCTCGTGCTCCTTTTGGGTGAGCATGTTCTCCTTCTCGTTCAGCTTGAAAGTCAGCTCCTCGATCTGCCTTTCCCTCTTGCTCAGCGTGTTGTTAAGCACGTCGATGGAGCTCTCATGGATGCGCACCTTTTTCTCGAGGGCAGCGCTGCGATCGCGCTCTTGCTTATAGACAGCCTTCAAGGAGGCGAGCTCTGTGCGAAGTTGAAGGTTGTCCCGGTCCAGGTTCATCAGCATTTGCCGGAAACTGTCACCTAAAGAGCAAAGGAATTAATATCTTATATTGCTTATTTATACTTCCTTTATTAGAGACTTACACTTTATATCCAAATTGGCGCGCAGCTTCTTTCGCTTTTCAATGCGTTGCTCTAGATAGTGCATCAGTTCGCGAATCTTAATCTCCGTCTCAGGACTATCCATGTCGTAGGCGGGAAAATCGGGTCCCAGACTGTACACCAGACCCACATCCACCTCCAAATCCTTGGCCTCAGGAATGCCTAGCTCATTCAGATTATTAACGGCAATCTTGAATAGTTTGTTAGCCTTGCGACGACCGGGGGTCAGACCCAAATCTTGCTTCATGGGAGTGGCCCGAGCTATTTGGACTTCCTGCGTCATCTCAGCAAACTTCATCACTTGCTAAAAAAGGGTAAATAAATCTTAAGTATCTGTATCCTTTGGGTAAAAGAAACAACCTACCATATTCTCGTCATAGTCCTCTATCCTTGGGTTAATGCACACAATCATGGACACCTGCCCTTCGCCATCAAAATAGTTTTTGAACATGTGTGTGATCTTGGAGTCTCGGTAGGGAATCTTCTTGGGCGCCAAGCCATTTCCCGCCGCCAACTGGTTCTCCCGCAGATACTCCAGGCAAGTGCGTAGCGTCATCAGCGAGTTGTTGATGTTGCCCGCCTCTCGGAGTCGCACTCCAGTGTTCTTGGTGCGCGAGGAGCGCTCACTGCCCGCCAAATCCACCAGGGACAGCTGGCTAACCGTGATGTTCTGCCTGTCTTGAACCACATTTTCACCCTGGCTGTCCGTGGGCGCCTGGACCAAGCGTATGTTGAAAACCGAGTGGCTCCTGCTGGATTCCGCATTGAGAACAGTGTGCCCCATGCGCTTGCGCTTTTGGCCCATTTGGAAGACCTCGAGGGCCTCCTCCACCGTCTTGACCTCCACTTCGGTGACTCCGTGGACGAACATGTGGCGATTGGCATCCTCACGAATGATTTTGCTCTGCAAAGTCCTGTGGAAAAAACGTTTTTTTTATTAGATGCCTTTAAATGGGAAGGCTTAGATATCAACACTTACTTCTGTATACCCGAATCCTCCAGCAGATCGTAAACGCTGTTGTTATAAATCTCAATATAGGTGACAAACACAGAGTACATGTTATCCTCATCTAAACCAAGCAGCGGTGTTGGCTCCACGGAGGCCTGAGATGCAATTTCCGGATCGGAGTCCTTGTGCCTGAAGGCAAATCGTCCGGCTCCCGCGAATCGCTGGTTCATCTCATGCTGCCGCTCCAGTAGCGCATCTTCCTCGGACAAGATCTCAAATCCATTGAGCTTGTCTGGCTTGAAAACAAACTTCTTGGCCTGGTAATCGGAAATGGTGCGAAAGAGCACGTCCAGGCAGCGCGGCATAATGCCTCGGTGCTTTAGATTCCCGGTCATGGTGTAGGTTTTGCCACTGCCAGTGACGCCGTAAGTGAAGAGTAGGCTGTTGCGACCCTTGAGGAGGTTCTCCACCAGTGGCTGAGCCACCGATCCGTACACATCCTGCTGCGTGGCATCCGGTTGAAAGACGTGCTTGAAGATGTACTGAATCTCGCGCTGGGCGCCATTGTGTGTCTTGTGGTGCTGCAGCAGCTGATCCTGTGGATTCAGAGCAATCGTTGTGGAGTTCTTGACCCGCAAAGAGGCGAGATCGGCGTCGGATTGCAGTGGTCGCACGCGACAGAACACATTCACAGGATCCCGGGCCTTGTCGGAGGTGTCTCGCCTTAGTTTTTCCGCAGTTGGTTGCGCCCGCGGTGTTTTCGGGACGACGCGCATCGGCGTCCTGGGTCTGCGGGTGGAAATTTTCAATGCTAGATTCGATATTTTCAGGCCTGTCAATATACTCACACTGCCTTCATGTTCTCAGCTTTCTTTTGCCACTAATAGAATATCCTGGCGGTGTTTTAAATTGTTTTGGTGCGCAAATCAATTTCTCTTTTGGTTCGTTACCTTCAAATTTACAGCGCCAAGCGACGCCACGCTTTGTTTTAGAGTGACCGAATTTCGGAAAAATACCTGGTTTGCATTCGATATATACTAGATAAACACAAGGGTGTATACAGTCCTCGTCATTTGAATAGGTTTTCTAGCGCAGCTGTACAGAAGTGATGTATTCTTTAAATAAACGTACTGAGCTCAAACAAATAAATTACAAATGACTTTAAATAAATAAAAATATTTTTTTTTAACTATAAATAAATTGGGTAAACAAATAAATAAAACCATTGGTTTTGCACCTATTTTATTGCCGCACATTGTCACTTGGCACAAACAGTATTTTTTCAGGGCTGCATTAAGCAAAGGAATGACAATATTTTGGCGGGCTTTGAATACATTTTAAAAATTAAATAAGATCGTTTTAGGTCACTGTTACTTTTTATTAAAATTAAGAATGGAGAACATTTTTCGCATTAATGCCGGTCCGTTCCAATAACCCTTCATCATTAGCTTCCAGTAGAGCACCGGCATCAGCTCCTTCTTCATAAAGAACATCGAATACCGCTCCTTGGCCTGATCAATAGGGAAGGTCTCCACGGGCGTGAGAGTATAGTCGAATTCCGCCAGAATGCAGGAATTGTAGCCGGTGACAATGGGACAGGAAGAGTATCCGTCATAGATGTCGGTTGGTGCCTTTCCCTCGATCACCGCAATCAAATTCTTGAAGACCACCGGAGACTGGGCAGCTGTAAGCGGATAGGGCTCATTTCGTATTCCACATCATTGAATATTCGGATTACGAGTCGCAACGGAATCCAGATCTTACCTGCCGCAGCCGCCGTCTTCGAATTGGGTGTGCAAGCAGAATCGCCGATGGAGAACACGTTGGTGTACTTGTTATGCTGCAGCGTCATTTGGTCCACGTCCACAAAGCCAGTTGGGGTCACCAGTTGCTTGCAGTTGGCCACCACATCCGGAGCGGTCATCGGTGGCGTCACATGAAGCATGGAGTACTGCGAAAAGAAAGGTATCAGATGATATTAGATTGTTAAGTACTTTTGTATTTCGATTCCAAGTTGTATTACTGGTATCAGTTTTCCTTATATACTTAAGGCTAACGTTACACCTTGTGAAACCGAACCTTGGACAACTTTGCATTAGTTTTCGTAGAACTTTTGTTTACCTATATTTTTCTAACCTTGTGTCTTGAATTTCTCGAAGCTTTAAAGTGAAATTTATTGGCAAGAAGAAAGAAACAAAGCAATAAAATGATCTACTTTATAGAATGACAATGTTATGGGTTCAGAAATTTGAGAGGTAAAACTAATCAACAAATTTTCTAGCTTTGTAACTAAAACTCAAATTTTAGGACGTACAGACATCTATTGAAAAAAAATATCTACTTTTTTAGTACTTACCTTTTCTTCGTATAGTTGTCCAGGTTTTACCAAATCCTCGAAAACGGCTATATTCTCGCTAGGTCTGACTTCTACGAGGTTCCTATTCACATTAAGCTTGATATTGCGCTTCTCAACCAGTTTCATCAATGCATCCGCATAATGTTTTACGCCAAAAATCACAGGAAGAGATGTATTATAAATAACATTTACATCGTCGCGGCGACCCATCTGAAAAAGTAAAAAACCAATGATAATTTCCTCCACACCCCTATTACAATCATACACAAACCTTCCTAAAGTAGTGATCTGATATGTAGGCTATTTTCTGTGGAGCACCTGCACACTTGATGGGACAATGGGGAAAGGTGAAGATTACATTTCCCTTGTATGTCCTACGCAGACAAGCGTACACCTGATCCACGTACTTGGGCGAGTAAATGGAACAGACATTGCTCTCCGGGGTCTCCAGGGCTTCCACTAATCCAGGAATCTATTGAATAAGATATATTTATCATGATCCTCTGAATATCTCAGAGATGATATTCACCTTTTCATACTTAAGTTGCAATCCTGTGGCAATAACAAGAAAGTCGTACTTGATCGTCTTGCCACCCGAAGTGCTAACCGTATTATTATCTGGGTCGAACTCCACTGCCTTTTCTTTCACCCACTTGGCCTTTTTGGGCAGGACATCAGCCATCTGTCTGTAACTTTGATCCAATCGCTTCATACCTCCTCCAATTAGGGTAAACATGGGTTGGTAGTAGTGTTTCTAGAGGGGAAGTACCAGGTTAGTATAGAATATTAGTTATAACCCTTGGGATTACTTACATCTTCTGGTTCCAGGACGATCACCTTGTTGCTGCCAAGACGCGAGGACAACTTGGCGGCCATGGCACAGCCACCAGTTCCTCCGCCCACCACCAAAACTTGACATCTGAAAGGGAAATAAATTGATAATAAATTATTTGTAAATTCCAGGGACTCTTTATGACAGAAGATGCATGACCACACCCTCTAAAAAAACGAATACCTCAACGTAATCGAACCATGACCCACAAGTTCAATTTACGTTATCGCTACTTACTAGATATTAGCTTAGAGTCTACATGCTAATCCCACCTAAAACATACTAATTCAATTTGTTTTGATAGATATACACTTGCTATGCCATCCGCTTCGCGGAAAATAGCAAAACTTTTAAAGCGTTATAAACAAACTTACTCTTGCCGTTCGTGGTTCACTCGCGATGTGGAAAGGAATCTGGTGGAGAAGGCAGGTGAAACTGGATGGCTGGAGGCAAAGAGGTGCCTCTGGCACTGGTTAAAGGTTCCTGGAAGTCGGCGGTTCATCGTGGTAACAGGTGGATCTTTAATCTATCGATCTCCGCAAATGTTAGCTGGTGAAAATCGGACTGCGAATGGCTACAACCGGTGGGCGACTGGCGCAGAAAAAAAGCTTTTGATGGGGGGTTATCAAACCGGTCACACTGGCAAAAAATGTAGGGCTATTTGCAATTTAGAAAAAAACTTTAAAATTTAAAAATTGCCGGTTTTGATCAGACGGCACTATATTCTTCCAAACATTTCGACCTACTTTTACGAACAACAAATCGTGTTTGCCGAAACTTGTCAATGAAACCTATCATAACAAATGATTTTAAACACAAATAAATATATATTGAAAATATTTTTTATAGATAAATCTGTTTTGTTAACTGCACTAATTTCGTAAATATGTCAGGCCCCCAGAAAATTAAATAAAAGTTTCGTCCACTAGCCATAAAATTCGGAGTGTATGTGACTGGAAACCTGTTTTTTCGTGTGGAGTTTGTCAGGGGTAATAAAAATAGTGAAAAACAAGTAGCACTTTATTTTTCGGTTGGGTGTATTAATTGTTTAACCTTGAAAGATTGCTAAAGCTTTTGGCGTGCTTTTTTTAGTCAGCTGTTTAGCCCACCAAAGCTAATCTGGTACTAAATAATTTTAAGCTTTAGATTACGCGTATGCTCGAACCACTTAATTGCTGTCTACAGTGGATCCCGTAAATAAGAAACCCATGAGATCATTATTTAATATAATAAGCACTTAGTTCTAATAAAACAACAAATATTTGCCTGCTTATCAGGGCTAAGTGGCTTATTATTTGCATTTTTTATGGTATACTTCAAGGGGCAACCTTATCGAAGTGGAAGAATTCAACATTTTGATAACTGTACATTACTACGCATTAAAAAATAAACATTAATTTAAAAAAATATAATCTTGCAAAAAAATTCCCATCTTTTGACTTTTGTTTTTGTATTTTTTTATACAGATTCCATAGCACAACGAAATATATCCCTAGAGACCAACAATCCAAGGTTGAGGAAAGGAAATGCTGATGTTTGAGCAACAGCTGCCATTTAGAATTCAAATATTTAAAAAGTATTAATATTTTCCTATTTTCTGTGATTTCTTCTCAGCCTTATCAAGAAAAGCCTATATTGAGTGAACACTAAGTGGGCAATTAACAGATTGTACAAGTCTAATCAGAATATGAAGGTCGCCTTTAAATTCTATTGATGAACCGCAGCGGTCATTTACTTGTATACATATAGGGTATATTAAAACCAATTATAATAATTGACCGGAAATGTAAACGAGTAAAATATTTATAAATATTGCGAGTCTCAATTAAAAATATTTTTGAAGTATTTAAGTATATTGTTTATTTAAATTCCTATTAAAGGAACTTTCATAGCATGCAAGATAAAACTATTCTGACCAAACACTTGCAAAGAAAAATGTTTTTTTTTTTAAATATAGAACAGTTTCCCAATACATAATAGATAAGGAGTGTTCTTTTTATAATTTTTAGCTGTACATCCCCTTTAAGAACGCGTGTTGCGCTCTGATCTTATTTGTGCAATAATGTAAACGGGTGAGGCGGTCAGATCGTGAAACTTTCAGAATTCTTTCATCATAAGAACTTTAGAAAATACCCTGGCTGATAATATGTTTTAGGGAAATACGTTGTTTAATACGACTTCTCTTCGGTTATGTGTTATATCCAGGGATTTTCCTACAGACCCGCAAAGTGTTATATGCTCAATGATCATTTTTACGTTTTCCCGCCTCTTGGAAATACTTCAAAAATGTTTTCCTTTATAATATGTTCAATAAATTGGGGGCTTCCGATGAAGTTCGTAGTATGTGTCATATCCAGGGATTTTCCATGGCCCCACAGACGGATAGACAGACGCGCATCGATGCTAATAAATGTAGTAAATGTTGGATGATTAAGTGGACAATGTTGCCAATAAACGCCGCCAGACGACAACTGTGACAGCGGCGGGTTTAATTACGCCATGCTGCCGACTGATTGCAGATGGATGTCGACGGATGTGGGGCAGTACAGATACATATATGGAGGTGGGCGGGGCTGAGGGGCAGGTCCTGGCAAGGACCTAGCGTGGGCCCGACCCGCCATGAGGTGGCCCATCATCAATTGGAGACAAGCTGGCAATTCAAATGAAGCCCTATTGACGGATGGCCAAATTGGCTGCGCGACTGCGTGGGCGACTATCTATCTATACATATATTTATATAGAAATCAATGGGTGGTTGGGCGGTTGGATGCGACCCTCAACGGGCGATGGCCACTTTAAATTGGGCGTGGCATCTGTGGGCCCTGTTGCTAAGTGACCATTTCCATTTGCGGTGGCAAGGTCCCACCAGGCCGTCATCATGTTGTTTCCGACCCAATAATGACCAAACTGGTGGTCACCATGCTGACTTTCCCCGATTCTCCATAGTCTGTCGTCGGTGGCCCGTGATTGCGTGAGCTCCACTTCATTTGAATATAACGGTGGCAGGCCACTTGGAGCACGTAGGCCCACACGGAGAAAAATGCCTGGAAATATCGGTGTGATAATATCTTCTCAATTTTAAACCAATTTCGTTATCTGAACTTGGGATAGACATCAAATACGTGACTTATTTTAACTGTTTATACCTAACTCACTTCTTTTTTTAGAGTTACTCAAAATCCTTCATCTATGACAATATTATAACAATATATTATAATACCTGTAACATAAAATATGATGACGTTGATTACAAAATTCTTAAGTATACTTGATCTTTATTAAACTGATATACATAATTACTTATTATATAAAAATATTTCATTTGCCGTCACAGATAAGAACTTCCTATATATATGTAGCTGTATGTGGGTTCTAAATTTCTAAATTTAGTTTAAATATATTTAGGTATACCTTGGAAATCTCTCCACCTATTGACGAATTGCCTAGAACCAAAAGAGATAAGAGCTTATTACCAAAGAAAATAATCATGAGACATCATTATTTGGTCCTGATTTTTCACTGTGCGTCCTAAGATACTTAAGGTACTTATGAGTTTTTTTGGTTTTGTCTAAATTAAGTGTGGGTGTATAGAACTTTACTTCGAGGGAGCTACAATAAAGCTCTAATTAGGTTGTTATTTCTGGGTACACCTGAAGAGTATTATTTGTAGAGATAAGAGCCTTATGGGGATATGGATGGGGATTACCAATTTTGGCAGTATTTTTTTTCTCCGTGCCCAGACTCCTAGACTCCGAAGTGCATTTCAATTGACGCCACACCAAAATCAATTGCAGCAGCGTCTGTGGCGGGATCTTTGTGCAATTGGTCCGGGGCTCTGGAATGCAAATAGTGGACACCGCAGCAATTGATGCAGAACCCCTGGACTGGAGGCAGCAGGTCTGCCATAGCTATGCCCCTGTCTATATATCTGCATCTATATCTTTAGCTATATATCCATGGAGTGACGTCCGCCATTGTCCGCCTGGCTGACTGGATGACTGGATGATTGACTGTCCGTCTGACCGGAAAGCAGATGGAACTAATTCGCAACGAGCCGAATTAAAATCGCAACCTGCACAAATCCGGAATTATCAGCCTAAGGGCGGCGGCTGCGGCAATAATGGTTGATGGGAATCGGAATCCCCCATCTTAATTGGCTGACATCTATTGATCCTTGCAATGGACCCCCGCCATATGGTAATATATGGGATCGACGGGTTATATACTGTAAAAAACCGTACTGCTTGCCATATGCATTTGGGGCATGCATTTCATTTTCATTTCCAGTGCGATCCGAACACAGCCGATCCAATCTTCAGCGAATGTTAATGAGAAAAATGTGATTTAAAATAATAAATTTGCATGAAATTTTCATCGGCTGTGGAAGTCAATCAATCAAAGGGGAGCAACAAGTAACAGAGGCTGTCAGCCGAATCCCATCCCCTGTGAGCCACCCCCTCTTTTTGGGGCCAAAAACACGAGCAGCGCAACGAGCAGAGAGATACAGATACGAATGGAGATACGAATTCAGATACTGTATCTGTATCTGTGCTTTTGTATCTGTAGAGAGTGCCCGACGCCATAACCGTTATTAAAGCCCCTGTAGAGTCCAATTTGCTGGCTCGTCCGTTCGTCCATTTGTCCGTTTGTCCGTTCGTCGTCCGTTCGTCCCGCTTCGCCCACTTGTTGATTTTTGGTTCGGTTCGGGTGGGCATGCCCATGCCAGATGCCAGATATAAAAGCATGGACGCTCAATCTTCCGCCACACAGTCCATCACTCGCCGCATCTCGAGCAGAACGGAGCTCCACCAAGAACCGAGAATATAGAACTGTAGCTGCATCTCGAGTGAAATCGAAAAAAACCCCCTTAACGTATTCCATATCCACCGGAAACTCCAGCGAAAGTTCTAGAACTCCAGTGAAAGTGCCAAAAGAAGCTCCGAAGTGAAAGTCATCTAAGAAACCAAAGATATGCAGGTAGGATTGCAAGTCAATAACTAAGTAGATACTAACTTTAGGCTTAGGGAAAAAAGTTAAAAGGTTTATACAATTTTTATGCGGGTAATACAACTGGGAAATTTTTTTTTCGTCTTTGAAAAAATAAATATTTCATTCAAAATAGCTAAAAAATTGTTTTTTATATAATGATAATGATAATAATATAATGATATACTGTCTTTATATGGGATAAAAAATACCTATAATATAATTTCGGAAAGGAAAACAAAGATTTGCATTAAAAAATCTAATTTCACAAAAAGGTTCCTTTAAAAATTCCGCTAAACATTTCTAATAATGACAATAGAATAAAAACCTGCCTCAATAATATAGAATTCTGCCTAGAAACAATGATTTAACAGAAAAGATAGCCCACTTAATTGGTGTTCGGGGTACGAGAGTCTCTCAATAACCCGTATAGCAGCTTCCTCCGATTGACTCATCAGCAGACAGTTGAAAAGTTTCTCGACTTTGCGCTTTTAGCAAATTCCCATCTATTATATACATATTTGTATCAGTTTCTGATCTCGTGCCATCAATTCATAACTTTTCGGAATGAGAGTGCTAAAAAATGAGCAATACTTTCAAATTGCCTTGATTCATGTGACGTGGGCTGCAAGGGGCAAATGTTAAACAATTAAATTGAAACAGTTCATCTTCGTAAATTAGCACATTCGAGATTTTGAATTGTACAACAAAAATGACTAGTCTTGATACGTTATCGGCCTAGGCAACAGACCCATATGTTTTCCTTTATAATATATAACTTATAATATGGGTTTGGGGTATGAGATCTTATGGAGAAGTCGCCAGTGGGTCTGTAAGTCCCACTGATATCAGATCTGTTGTTGTTTATCTTCGGGGAAGAGTCGCAAAAGCCGGACAATAATGATAAGTGCATCGTTTTGAGGGAAATATGCTTTCATCCGCCGAAAAACGAGGAACCCAGAGTAAACAAAGTCCTCGAGGGCGATCGAGCGTGAGAAGAATGCGAATTGTCAAACAAAACTTGAGCAAAATATTGTGAATTCTTCGCCATGTTTTTGTTTTTCAATCTCCCTAGCCGGCATTTGTTACGGAGAACTGTGCGAATTGGTGCAGTTTGAACTAGATTTTAGATCTGCTTATCGACGGGTGATAATCTTAACCCTCTGATAATATATCAAACTTGCTGATTTCTTGCTGTGCTGTTCTAGGAATCACACTTTTAGCAAATTGGAGCGATCAAAGTGATAGTCATCGTTACAATTAATTGAGTAACGCGTTCTAGAATATGCTAGTTTTATAGAATGATGAAATGTAGGTGTAGAGTTGATATTTAAAAGGAAAATTTGTATTTTCTAGAAACTCACTAACTTATTTTAGTCAGAGCTTGAAAACATGTTATTGTTACCACTGTTATTGCAAATATTGTTTTAGTTACTATTGTGATTGTGATTAACATTATATAAAAATTATAATCCTGTTAAAATCATAACAATCATTAAGGAAAAAAGCTTAAATACTCCACAAATACTTTTAAAAATTAACTGTTTGAAAAAATTCTTAATATTAGCTTATAAAATTTATAAGAAAGTAGTTAACACTAGGTATTCTAGTCTTTTCCGTTCAAATGAGAAATATTTTAAAGTATGTTTAAAGATATTGGAGATACTATATGTGGCTACCTTGAAAGTTGCAGTTAGAAAATGCAGAATCATGTGCATATAACCTTCTATTAACCAAGGGTTAATCCGATCTGCATTTTCCGTTTGCTGAGTCAGTTTCTTGAGTTAGGCAAAAGTCGCTCGTCAGCTCGAGACCTCCGCGATTGGTTTTTAGTTTTCAGTTATGGGTTTTCCGTTTTGAGTTCCAAGTTTTCACTTGGTGGCTACGTGATCCGTCGAACATCTCCACACTCACATCCACCTTTAAAAGCACTTTTAAAACCGTCCCCCAACCAGAATCGGTTACATGTTTTTTCTTATGTATTTTTTTTTGAGCCTGACGTTGCGCTGGTCACGCAGGCACTACCCCACTTCAACCCCCTCCCCACCCCGCTGCCTGCCCCTTGGCATCACCAAAACCACTATCGTTCGATTCTGAATCGAAATCAATTCACAAGCAATTAATAATCAGATCGCTTTTGTAATAAATTGCAATTTTATTAAATGCTAAAAAAAAGACTAAGCAAAAAAAAATCATTGCCTTCGATTTTTTCGCAATGAAATTAGTTTGTGGGCGGAGGGGGTGTGGGGAGTCAGGGGGTGGTGGGGGGTCAGGGCGGAGAATCGCGAGTTCAAATGCGTCACAATCGCAATTTTATTCGCAATATTCTCATTTTTGCATGCGAACGCGATCGATAAGAGAGTGGGCCAAAGAGGAGGCTGAAGAGCTAAGAGCGAGAGACCGGCGGTAAGAGCAAGAAAGAGATTATTTTGCTCTTTTGCTGCCGTCGTCGCTGCCCCCCACAAAAGTGGGCGTGTGCTTGTGTGTGTGTGCGAGAGACGAGCCCCCAACTGATGCTGTGTTTATCCACTCACACACACTCGCACAGTGGGGCACTCAATTATGCTGCACACTAATGAACAACTGGAATATCAATTGCACACACATACACCAATACAACCAGCATGTGAAGACAATTAGGAGGAATCTTTAATTGGCGGCCCCGTCCTCGATGATATGCCCCCACTGCCACGCCCCTGTCTCACTGTCCCTGCTGTGTGTGTGTGTGTGTGTCTGGGTGTGCGTGGGCAACGAGCCCCCTTTTATGCATACATACATACATACATGTTTTTGCCTTCATAATTGTTTTTCAAGCTCTATTGAACTTGGGGCGTTGATGATGACGACGATAACAACGCTCAAGTTGAAAATAACATCGCCCCACACGTAATAAGACGTCATCAGACTACCCTATCCAAAAAAGGAGGGATGCTACTTGATCTGGGGGGTCTTTAGTATAAGTACGAGAGCTAGCGATGTCTAACAAGCTTCATAACATATATAGGGTCTCAAATTCTTCTTATTATTGGGCTGTCCTATCAAAAGAGCGCGGATCTTTAGGATATATTAACAATTCAGAAATATCTACGTTAAATATAAAGATTTATGTTACCCTCTTTGGGTTTCTTAAATATGTTGACTAAGACAGCTAATAGCTTTGGAAGAATACGATTTAGTCTTTTGGATCTAACTTACTTAGCAAACTTCCTCAGCAATAACTTTTCTTTAACTCTATCTAAAATTAGTCAAACTGAAGTAGCTTCCTACACTTATATTCGTTTCCTGGTAAAACGTTTACTTACACTCCAAAAATGCAGACGTTAGTAATAGATTTAACGTTAAATGCACAGCAAATAGTTAACACCTTCCTATCAATATTTATAGAAATTATTGGGAATTTGATTCAGTCGAGACTTGGATTCGAGGAACTCACATTATTAGACTTAGAGATATTAGACCACCGATACTTTACTACGCTTGAACAGTATTTATTTAGCCTCTCAAAAACCCTATCCAAATAAATGTATGTAATGTAAGGGTATTCCTTGTTCGGTTTCCAAAAGTAAACCTCGTTTTCGTGTTTTCTGTTATTGTTTTCTTTTGCCAATTCATTATAATGGAATGATTACAATTAGAACGAATATTGGAGAAGATAAGAAATGTCTATGGGGGGCTCAAATGGTTAGGAACGCGGAGGGCATGATGATTGTGCACATACAGCACGTTCCAATACTCATACCTCTAATATCGGAATCGCAGTTATTGAACTTTTTAGTGCTAACTGGTGTGACTGTACGAAAAAGTTTAAGTTATCTTTCTTGAGCAAAGACTCACTCAATATTATAACGTAAACGGTAACTTCCGAAACCATAATAATAGGCATCATATGTCATCAAAACTCCGTTCAAAAGGTTTCACCCTTACTGAAGCTTAAACTTTAAAAATGTCTTTTAGAAAATCTTTATTCATAAGCCTAGGCCACCACATAAAATCCAAAATATCTAGTTGAGCGCAGAATTTCGACATGTAGGCAATGCTAATTCCCCGCCAGTTCGATGCTCTTTCGTGTGACCCAACCCATTTAGATTTCGAATATATTAGTTTACCGACAGCGGGTGACTCATCGGGTCTCTCTCACGTACACATGGTCTCAGGGTTATGCTCGAAAACCCGGGTTTACCTTTCGGCTGCACTGAAGAGCGCACCCAAACGTCGGTGTTTTCGGCCATGGGTGGGGGTAAGACCATGGAAGGGGCAGGGGTACGGATCGGCTTAAATGGCTGATGCAATCGGAACGCAAATTGGGCGAGAGCTGGAGTCATAATATTCCCGCTCTTTTGCTTTTGTTGCACAACATACAGAAGGTAAACCAATCGTGTGGTAACCGGAGAATCCAAAAGGAGACCCAAGAAGAGACACCCAAAAGAGGTATTCAAGGAATGCCAGGGAGTCGTATTACCCATGCTCGCATAAACTTAAATCGTCGCCGGTTAATTGATATATTATAATTACAATTACCGTATACTGATTTGTAAGCCATGAATATGCATGAGGAAGTCCGCTTCCCTTTCCGATTCCGTCACCTTCGCTGATAAGCTTCCAGCTTCGGCTTCACTTTTGAGTTTCAGATTTCAGTTTTCAGTTTTTAGTTTTCAGTTTCCAGAGTCCCATAGCAGCTTCATAGGCACATACATGTCTACGTATGTTTTAACAGCCCCCAACCACCAAGCAATTAGTGATAATTGCATTTCATTCGGATTTGTCGTAAAAATTTTCCACATTTTTACAAAAAGAGAAGAAACTTGATATGTGGTTTCAAAAATTTTCCATTCCATTTGTTCGTTATGCTCAGTACATTACATTACACACATTGCCTGTGGCCACGAAAGTGGTTGTGGTGTGTGCGTGAGTGTACGTCAAGATCTCGATCTCGTTATAATGTAGAACAGCTATAGAGAATCGGGCATTGCCCAAGAGAACCGGAGAGATCG